AAATACAAATTCTGGTTCAAGGCTATCACTGAGAGGTTACGATGATGACTTCCTTCGGTAAAAAGATCTGTAATGCATGAATCTTTGCTGGCAGTAGACATTAAGTCGTCGAGGATAACCACATTCACCACATGGGGATCCAGAAATGCATCCTTTTCCAGGTCAGAAGGAATGCCTTGATGAAATTCCACATAGGGATAAACATGGGTTTGAATGGTGTTATACAAGGGCTGCCATCGTTTGTAGAGCCAAATAATACGTTCAGGATAAGGTTTAATGTTCATCCTTTCTGGAATCTGTTTAACTAAGTAGGTTTTCCCACAGGAGGTGGGCCCTGAGACAATCATGGTGAATGGGTGTATTAGTCTAAATTCTTCCCAAGGCTGAGTAGTACTTTCTGATGAATGTGGTTGTACTGGTTGCTGCTGCTGCTGCTTTTGCTTTTGCTTTTGTTGCTGCTGCTGCTGCTGCTTTTGTTGTTGTTGTTGCTGCTGCTGCTGCTTGATATCTTCTCCTGAATGTTTTGTTCAAATATGACGGGACAAGTCATGAGCCCAAACATATTGTTTGGAGCATACGGAACAGGGATGCATAATGATGTTCACACGTCGACAGTCCTACTACAAATGACACATTTAGCCTTTTGTCTCCATTTAAAAATCTGTTTTCATTTGCTTTGTTGACACTGCTTCCATTGTGTTTTCCCTATTGACGACACTTTCCCTTTCTCTCTTCAACTTGGCTTTAGCCTGTTGAACGACTTGTTGGGTGGGAGACGTGAGAGCAACCGTGTCTGTAGAAGGGGGTAGGTCCATCTTGACGCCTTGTTTATCATATTAGATCACATAATCATAAACGTAAGTAAAGGGATTGGGATAGCCTTTAGCCTGCAAATAGTAATATTTGGTCCATTTCTTAGGGTCGTCCAGATAGGGTGTCCAGTATCTCCTGTTCATTTTCTTGTTCCAGTTGAATACTGACTCTCACACAGAGGTTTCAGATGAAGTGTCACTATCACTGGTCCACGGCTAAATGAAGCTAAATCACCGTTTCTGTCCTCTATATAGATGTCTGCTAGCCCTAATTCTAATTCCTAAAAACATGTTGTTATCAGAGCGTGGTTTCGATCCACGGTCCTCTGGGTTATGAGCCCAGTGCGCTCCCACTGTGCCACTCTGCTCTCCCTTCATCTACCTTTTGTTAGAACTTTTATACACCACATCAACCAATGACAACCAATATTGATTTATTCTCAAATAGTCACAAATACACACAGTATTGTACAATGAACATCACACTCTTACACATCTAAATCTACATGACTACCCCAGCGGACCACCTCTTTCTGAGGTACTCCTACCAGGGCCAAATACGGACAGTTTGGAGACCATTTTTCATGTTCAACCCTAGGATCATCCTCTACGTCCCAGTTCTTGAGAACAACACCACATTGAACACACTTGCAAGCGTCTCCTCTGTTTAAGTACACAAATCCTGCCCGGGCCATTTGACTAGGACTCTGTTTCATCTGCACAGGCCGAGACTGAAAGGAATTCAGCCGTTCTTGGAACCGTGTTTGAGGTTTGAGAGGGATACTGTCCATACATAGGTACCCACCTAGATCATCATCACCATGACGATACTCTGTCTTGTCTGTCTCTAGTCCCAGCAATGTCATGGCTTGTATCTCTCTGCATTCCTCCAGTGCTTTGCAGAAGAGGGTGTAAGCTTGGGGTCCTCGCCGGGGAAGAGTATCTATTAATGCTCTGACCCGGTCAAAGGAGGTTTGTGGTTTTTCGATAATCTCTGGCTTCATGAAGATGGTAAGGACTTCAAACTGTACCAGTTTGTCGACCACCTCTTCTACACGCTGTATAGCTAACACGAGGTCGGAGCGATTCTTCCTCAGGATATCCCGGTGAATGGTTTCCATTTTCTATCTTCAAGGTAAACGGCTACCAGAACCAGTAGAGTCAAGAGCATGCGTGCGGTCTCTCTGGCGACTGAAGTCTGAATGACATGGGGACTGTTCGGGGGCCTTATATTGCCACTCGAGTCTAAAAATACCTCTGGGAAAGTTGTTTATCCCAAGGTCAGCTCAGTACAAGGTCATTGCCTCCATCCGCTTACCCACGGTCACGGTGTCAGCCAGGTGTTTGAAGTCTGTCACCAACATGGCGGATTTGGGACTGTGTTCTCCAAGGTGATGGTGAGGTCATGTTTTTAGACTATGCCTAATGAGGTCACACAGGTGGTGATGACGTCAGAAACAAATGGCAGATTTGGGCCTATTCCAGCCCCTATACAACAGGTGCGGACAAAACCTAGGAACATGATCAGAGTGAGGCGGGATTCGAACCCATGACCATAGGTTTCTGGAACATCTAAGGGACGCAACTCTGCTTTGGGGTGCAAGTGCAGGGTGAGACTTTACCGAATTGTGCCTGTCATTGTCTGACAGGGGAGCCGGGGTAGCTTAGTGGTTAAAGTGTTCGCTCGTTACGCCGAAGGCCTGGGTTCAACTCCATGTTCAAGGCGACCAATGCCGTGCCTATCGCTTATCGCCACCACAAGATGCGTGTGTGAGCGCTTGTATACAGTAAATCACTATTTATAATAATGAGGACTTTGTGTAAGCTTTTCATCGTTTTCTTGGCAAACCCTGTCAGGTCACAAAAGGCTCATCTGCCCATTACACTAAAGGATCCATTGTTTTAGAAAGAAAGCAACCCATGCATGCCTGTCATAAGTGGCGACTATGCTTATCTTATAGAAGGCGACTTGTGGGATCGAGCTTCGTAGGTCGATGCTCCTGATATCAATCACTGGAATGTCTAGTCCACATTTTATTATACACAGGCCGCTGCCATATAGCCGGTAAAACAACATTAATTCACTCAATTCAACTCTATACTGCAGTGACATATACATGTACTATCGTTGCAGCTGTCGTTGTGACAGAAAGATTGATCCCTGTAAATGGATTGTCACGTGATGTCATGTTTTTAGTAACCATGGTGATATTGAATTCGGATATGTTATTGTACGCTATGTACTAGAACTGCACAAGTCTCTTAGGTAATGATTAATGGTTGAAATGATCATTTCTAGATTAAAAACATATCTATATAAATAAGAGACTGGGGTCCTGTATACTGTCCGCTTATCTAGACTTGCATATAATTACTATACATGAATGGGCTTAACACTCAGTACAGCCTTGGAGCAAGGCTAGCCATGTATCTGGCTGCAGGCAGACATCACAAATCGTATTGGTGGTACAATCTGCTTGTAGGTTTAGTGCATGTAACGTGGGAAGTCATTAGGTTAAACTCTATCTGAATTACTGTCCATACATAGCTTGGCGGAATGATCGTCTAGAGAAGGGAGGGTAAACAGACACAACGTTTATGGTAACACCAACAGCAGCGCCTAACACAATAAATATATTCACAGACACGAGTGCATGACCTTGAAGGTAAAACCTTCCGCGGTCGTGTTTGGTGTCTGTCTGTATAATTGAACTGAACTGAACTTCATTGGCTTTGGCTTTTGTCTGTAGCGTTAGAAGTCTACAGGAGAAATATATAAGTGTATAAAACATCTTGCATCGTATAAACCATGTATCAATATCAGCACGTATAAATCACGCCATGCATATGCATGAATGGGTGGGTGAGTGAGTGAGTTTAGTTTCACGCCGCTTTGAGCAATATCAAGGCGGGGGTTACCAGAAACGGGCTTCACACATTGTACCTATGTGTAGAATCGAACCCGGGTCTTCCGCGTGACGAGAGAACGCTTTAACCACTAGACTACCCCACCGCCCCGTATATGCATGACACAATCTCAAATAGCATTATCGTGAGAACGTTTTGTTTAAACAGATAACAGAATTTGGGAAGTTCATAGTTGCATTGACGACTAACCCTTAGTTTTATATCAGGCTAGATCTTAATATAGAACAAACTTTATGGATAACAACTTCTTTTTATTCGTGAGTGCGACGTTTCGATACAGATTCTTGTACCGTTGTCAGCTTGACAACGGTACAAGAATCTGTATCGAAACGTCGCACTCACGAATAAAAAGAAGTTGTTATCCATAAAGTTTGTTCTATATTGTACTTCCCAACTTCTAAAATGCCACTCAGAGAAGTAGATCTTAATATACGAGATGAATTAAATAAAAGTTGTCATTCTGTTAGAAAGTGATCACATTTCAAAATGGTGAAATTCACAAACAATAAAACTCAGGCCATGCTGCTTTACAACTTGCAAGTGCTGTCTTCTGTCGTCTCCCTGTTCAGTTGGTAATGGAGGATTCCAGGTTATAAAGTTCAATATTTCCTGCTACCATTTTTCTTGCATAGTGATAATGAAATTTTCAAATATTAAGTTATCTTGAATATATATTTTAACCTTCAGATGATGATGATAATAATAAGAAATTGTTGGGTAATATTGGGTAATATGTGTTGGTCGACACAATGTTTGGGGGATACCTGATGAAGAACTAAATTAAGAGACTGACGGGAGAAGAGTCTGGAGTGAGTATTTCGTCTGCGAGTAACCCTACTACTACTGCCTCTCTCTCTCTCTCTCTCTCTCTCTCTCTCTCTCTCTCTCTCTCTCTCTCTCTCTCTCTCTCTCTCTCTCTCTCTCTCTCTCTCTCTCTCTCTCTCTCTCTCTCTCTACTGGTATTGGTATTTGCAAAACACTAATAAAAGTAATTAAATGTAAACTGAACAAACTGTCCCCCATCTTTCTCTGACAAAATAACAGCCTGCATTCGCATAGTGACGGTTTCGCATTTTGGCATTAATTTCTATCATTTTGACATAGGATCGTATCATTTCCTGTCCGAGGTACAGGAATCTCAGTCTGTCCTACTGATCCACAAGTAAGTTTTGATAAAGGCCAATTCGCAGCTTTAGACTGTGATAAAACGAGATTGCAGAAAGAAAACCCACCCAAACGACCTTGACCCACCTGATTTACATAGAAAGGTCGATTTACTGGGTTGGCCATAGCGCATAGCGTCAGACGAGCTTGGTGATCATTTTGAGAGTTGCTTTCCTCCTTTCCCACCTCTGAAAATGGCTAAAGTTTTAGGTGTTGCCGTCGATGGTAGCGACATCTCCAATGCGGCTTTTGAATGTAAGTATATTTCTCGCGATTGCGGAGAAAGGTGTTACCATGGCTTCTTGGTCCGCCGATCGAAGGATCCACGACCTCCTCAACATACACGTACAGTACCCGTCGTTTGCGAATGCATGTATAGAAAAATATGGAGTTTTAAACAACCTTACCAATGTAATATCGTCAAGTGTGTTTGACTGATTTCTTCAGAGTAGTCATGCCTGTTTATTCAATAGCTGGAGAACGAGGTCACATTGAATTATTGCTTGCGGTTCTGTCATGCCCGTACTGCACAATCTACCTAGTCTAATGGTCTCTAATGCTCACGGGCATCTTTGCCTTACTAAACTGATGTAGACTGTTTGCTATTTTGTTGCTTCGTTCTGATATGCTGATGAGAAAGAAATTTAATTTGTTACTACGAGAGACCATATACCTATATATCGGTATAGTATATGGTCTCTGTTACTACTAATATTGTTTGTTAACTGCAGATCGCCATAGTTAAAAATAGATCTGAAATTCGTACATAGTTGCCTGAGTTGGAGTAGGTGTAGCTAAGATCCATAGCGTTCACTGACATGAACATGTCAGTGAACGCTACGTATCTTAGGTAGAGTAGGTGGTCCGTGAGAATTCCTACAGTAGCTCGGAAAAGTTTCAGCAAACTAGGCTGGTCGTCAAAGGCAACTAGGTGGACCGGGTGGTCAGAATCGGGGACTTATTTGATTGCATGTCCACAAAGAGGTGTGGGTACTATAGTGGTTGTCACACAAGTGTGTTTGGAATGGTAAATCCAATGTCCTGTTTCAGAAATAAACATTGTATTTAGCAAGCCTACTACAGTACATGGCATTCAGTCGGTCCATGTATTGCCAGGTGCCTTCTACCTCCCACTTCCAGAAAATCAGTAACCACTACTCTGCTAATTGCCTCAAAAATAATTTTAAATTATTCAATTGTTCAAATCTGGTATAAAAAAACTGATAAAAAATTTAACTCAAAAATTATTTGCATATTAAGATAAAGGTTTTCATCAACATTCTTCTTTATTGTTCATATTTTCTCAACCAGTTGACTAAAATAAACAAAAATACATAATAGAACCTCTCTGCCATAATTATAGAAATTGTAGGTGCAAGAAGTGCTTAACTGCGGTAATTGTATGCCACAAGATACCCTTGCAGGCAGTTTTACTGAGCAGCTTTGTGACAGAAATGCAGTAAGACCTGAAGTGCAGACTTGTCTCTCACACAACTATTAATACTCCCACTTAACATTCTGTGCTGTTGACACTCTGGGGTGAATGTTCGCAGTGAAGTGCCCGGGAATGATCTGCTGTGACAGAACACAAGCATATAGTTAATGTGTTGCTTGTCATATCCATAATTCATTTGATACACTCGCTCACCAAAGTGACCTTCACCAATGTCAACACTGAAGGCAAGCTGAGTGGATGTGTAGCCCTACAGTGATGTATAATTCGTCTAGGAAAATATAAGGATGAGTGCTGAATGTACCAGCAAAACTCTATACTGTAATAATATTGAATCACATATAACAATATAGTTTTAATATTTGGGATATGTTTGTTTATTGTATATTATGAAAGGCATCCTAGGGTGCAGTGGAAGTTGAAGGGGTGTGTCCTTTTGTGTTATTTCTGTCAAGAAGAATATATACATGTACAGCCTCATTTGTGGGTCTACATATATGGAAGTTCCCTTTGTGTTTCATTTAGATGGTATTAAATCTGTTTTTGTGCATGTACATCATGATAGCCATTGCGTCATGAACTGTATGTGAGAATATGTGGAATAATCCGAACTGGGACTTTATTTTCAACCTAAACAGTAATCGATTCAGACTGTTTTGTCATGACAGGTTGTTATGATGAAATCAGAAATAGAACATGACAGACTTCATACATATCGACCCGTGAAGATCCGATTTAGAATCTTCAGTAACCCATGCTTGTCATAAGAGGCGTCTAACGGGATCAGGTCGTCAGGCTTGCTGACTTGGTTGACACATGTCATTGTATCCCAATTGTGTAGTTTGATGCTCATGTTGTTGATCACTGGATTGTGTGGTCCAGACCCGATTATTTACAGTGTTATGAGAATGTCATATATCTATACATAATTCTGTATGTATATTTATAAACCTGAAGTCATTCTAAAATATATTTACATTCCCTAAAATACCTGTTCACCTTAATTGAGAAGCTATGCTTACCAGTGACCACTCTCCATTGTCTATAAGTAAGCTGGGGTAATGAAACAACGATGTTATATAATTGTAGCTTGGGTTTTTGACTTGTTCAAGCAAGGTAACACACAAAGTGATCAGTGCCCAGGTCGGGAGTGAACTGAACGGTTTGGCCATGTCGGCAAGTTTAAACTGTCTACTTGAATATGCCATGTCGGCATAGAGTGATTTCATGTGAAGGATTATATGTGTTATTATTCTGAGGAATGTGATGGAGCAGGAACAATTGTATATCCATGTGATAACCAAAGTAAGACTTTTAACATATACCATGATACTTGTTTTGAACATTTGTATATATGTATAGACTGCCAGTATTAAAACTATCTTAAATTGTTGTGTGATCTCTCCACTCGTAACAACAGACCGCCGCTGTATAGCTGAAATAATGCTGAGTGCGGCGTAAAACTAAACTCACTCACTCATACACATCGTAATGCAACATGATACAGAAAGGATGTATGTATTTTACTGATTTTGTTGTAAGTAATCAGTGTTATTATCTATAATGTATGTAGTTATTTAACATACATAATGTCAAACTTCAAAGTGTTATATATAATGTGTACACAATTATACAAATAAATGTTTCAGCTTAAGAAATAATAGGACAATTACATGTCTAACTACCAAAATAGGCCTGTTTGTACATGGTGTAGTGAAACAGGATATGAAATTTAAATTGTAAATAATCATTTCTAGTCATGTTTTATCACAAAGTTACATTTACATAAATCAATGTATTATCTACATTTGTTTTTATTTGCATTATATAGCAGATTAGGGCTGGCAAAAAGAATCAATAATCAGGAAAATGGGCGCAGTGACAAATTATTTTATTATTAATAATTACCGCATGAAAACTGTCATAAACAATATCTTATGTATACTGTTGTGAGAAATAAAGCCTGTATATACACAAAGTTACATTTTTATTCATGAACTGCTATAAATCTGTTCAGAATGTTGCTTTTGTTAGTAAACAATGGATAACTGTGTCACAGCAACATGATGTTATAATATGATTATTTTTAATTTTTGCTGACAGTTACTTTCTCGATATTTATTGTCGATGGATATTTAGTTAACGATCATCAATATCTTTGATCTGTATTGATGGCCAGGCCCTCACCAGATAGCAATTTTCTCAAAAATAGAGGTTAAGCATGATGGTTGACTGCTAATAATAGACTAAAATGATAGTATTGTTGCCCAAGCAGGTCCTTGTGGAGGTATGACCACTGTTCAAAATAAGCGCCAAGCCAGTAGGTCCATGGCAAGTAGATTTCGTGTTGGACCCATAGTTTCAAAGAAGTGTGTATTTGTCATAAAAATCTGAAGTTTTTAAATGAGGGCTTGAAGAGTTTATAAAGGACCTGAATCTTGTAAAGTTTGGTGGTCCTAATGGAAGCTTGGTAATTTGTTTTATTTCAAACATTGGGTGTGACCTGTGTGTTTCAGATGCTTTAGAAAGCCTGTACAAGCCTGGAGACACCGTTGTGGTGATCCATGTTGCTGAATATCACATCAGCATTCCTGCAGGTAGGTACACAATAGCCAGACTAATTATTTAACCTCCATTCTAGAAATTTGTAGGTAATTGTTAATAACGAAGCATGCAACTTTATGGGTTACATCCTGTTTGTTGCTTAGAGCGATGTTTTGACGTAGATTCCTACATCATTATCAAGCTTTAACTTGATACAGTTTATGATTTCCATTCACACTAATGTCACAAGTTTTGCATCTACTCACCAACTTCGTAACAAATAAGCGTAAAAAGTGAAAGCACTCCCAAGTCAGAAACAACATGAGCTAAGTTTTCATAAGATACGGATCATAGTTATATTTCAGTTGTAAGTTTGATGTGGATCCAATCATTCAATGATAATTTAATTAATGTTTTAAATGAATTATTTATTTGGATGAAGAGGTGTAATTTTTTGTACTTTTAAGTATATTCAAAATGATTGGGGTGGTGGTTTGTATTAGTACTGAGACAATCAAGTTTTTGACAATCAAAATCAACGTTGCATCATTTGTAATTCAGAATGTAAAGTGTTGTGTTATTCATTGTGTTTTAGTCGGTTCATCAGATGTTGAGAAGTTGTGTGAAGAAATGAAAAAGCGAGATCAAGAGATTGGATCTTTGACAGCCACTTACACAAATGCGTTGAGACAGAAATCAGTAAGTTATAACTCGCTCATCAAACTGATCGGATTGAGCAACAATCATTTTTCACACAATCACAAATGTGTAAGAAATCACCAAACATTGTGGTACTATGTGTCACAATACAATTCATACTACTGATGCTCATATCTGTTGTAATCTAGGCTAATCTAACACCAAGCTTTATCTAGGGAAGGCACAGGGCCCGGTGGATTTTGGTCACCTTCACTTAATTTTCAGGGTCATAGCGACACTTTGAAGATTTCAGAATGTTAAGCTGCATGTTAAGATTGTCAGCGAGATATCTCAAGAACAGTTCACTGGATTTTCTATAGACTTTCAAGATTTCCCTTGAATGTTTTTCAATAAGCAGTTATTACTATATTTGCATATTTCATACACTAAGACACTCATGTCAAGGTCAAAGTCAGTCTTGAAAATATTTGTGGGTTTGAACAACTACAGAGCAAGATATCAAGAGAGGTTGACTGGTCATGTTTTTGTTTACATTTAACTTCATCTTAAATTACGACCTTCACTTTCTTTAGTTTTTAAGTTTGATTTCATAATTTGCGGCGGGGGATTATGTCACCTTAGTGACAATTCTTGTATTAATTTGAGAGAGGCTGGCTCTTTGCTGTACACACAATGTTATCAATTTTAATTTATTTAATTTCAGATAAGTGGCAAGGCAGTGAGACCAACTGGCGGCAAGCCTGGAGAGGTGATAGTCAAGACATGCAAGGAAGAGGGGATTTCCCATATCGTCATGGGAACAAGAGGTCTGGGAGCATTTCAGAGAGCTGTCTTGGGTAGTGTGAGCCAGTATGTCCTAAACCACTCGTCTATTCCTGTCACCATTATACCTAAGAAAGCCTGAGCAATAGGTTGAATGTGGAACATCAATGAGAATATCTCTATTTGGAGATTTTCTTGAGACTTAAAAGATTTTTAGCAGATTTTTAGAGGGGAAATTGAATTATAAGCAAAGGTGAAAATTGCATTTAAAGCAGATTTTTAGAGGGAAAACTGAATTATGATATCAGAGATTTGTGGAGAGGCTTTTATTGTAAGGGGTTACAGGTTAAGAATTATGAAACTCTTGATTCTGTGTTGCTTCATTTGGATCATGGATAATGTGTGTCATGTCTTCTGTTGGTGACATCCACCTCTACCATTGTTCACACGGACTAGCGATTTATGTAATATAACTTGAGTTTGGATGAATTGTTACTAATGGACCAGTGTCAGTGTCTGTCCATGTACATGAGACAGGACATACCACGGCTGGAGAATCAGAGACGTTACCGTCTATACTTTATAAACACAAATGTAACTGGGTTTTTGATGTACCAGCGTATTTGTTTACTGTACATATGATCCATTGTGACTGAACTTCAAACTGGACTGAAAGCTGTTATTGGGAATGAATCCCTGCCATATTTCAAGTTTTCCTTTTTAATCTTGCTTTAGCCAATGCAGACTTTTGTTTTTAATTTGAATTACCTACTTTGTTACAGCTACATTTGTTGTTAGAGGAGAATGCTCAGAGATGTGTGACTTGGGTCAGCACGACCCAGATTTCTTTCATTGTAATCGGATATATCAGTAATGCTACATGGCAAGTACTGGAGCAGTATTCAAGATTCTTGTTTGTTTACCAGTTGCCATGGTAACATGAAAAAGATTGTCTTAAAACTCCTGATCTACTCATGGAATTATTTGAGGAAACTATTCAAGACCAGAAGTACTTGATCTGATTCTGGAAGCACTATCAGTGTACCAGCAGAGAATGTTGTTTTCATCTTTTCTAGTACTGCACTGGAAGTTTTTCAAACATTGTTACCGTGGCAACTGGAACTACTTGTTAAGTTTGTATGGTATTTTTGCCCTAATTCTCATGTTCAGCAGTTCATGCATTTACAGCTTGAGGAGAGTATTTTTGTTTGTATGTATGCAATTTATACAATTATTTACACCACTTTCAGAGTTCTACAGAGAGGAGACATAATGAAAATGTGAAATTTACAAATAATGACATGAAACATTCACTTTTTGCATTACCATGAATACCAACCTTGTGCTTCAAGTACTGATTAGAGAATTCTTATTTATCACAAAGCTTCTAACATTCCGTTTGTTATTTTGAAATTGCAGCATAATATCTTTATTTCTAGCTAATTCATCACAAAATGTGTTTTTTTTCTGAATATTCCATGTTTATTAATAGAGTCCATTGCAAAAGATATTTTCATTCAGTTGTCTACACTTTAGTTTCAAGGTTAATTACAGATATGTTCTTAAATGTTTTGTGATAACAATACTATTGTATTAGCAGGAGGTCACATGTTAATTTGGGTTACATTTTGTGTGACTTAACATTCCTTGTCATGATGTTACACATGGGTGTCTGTACTGAACATCAAAACTGTATTTTACAATCAAAGGTACAATTACAGCAAACCATTCATATCATTGCTATAAGGGACAGGATTGTCAACCCTATGCAAACTGCAAGACTCACCTCAACCCCAATCTTGTTAAACCAGCATGACCGTATTGAGAAGACAAAATCCAGTGGTAAACATAAACATACAGCACTATATGAATATCAGAATAAATATAGCATGAAATATTGTAACCTACCACTAGTGTCTTAAGCAAGCTTCGTGATTTCCTGTCATAACAGTTGTATTTAATCAAAGCTATTGATTTAATGGATTGTATTATATCATCTCTCCCCAATGATGCTTGTTATGCTTATCTGCTCACACCATGTACAAATTCTTATAAATGATTATCACACCTGTATTCATGTAGCATTTAATAAATTTTCACCCCTTTTGTGTGTGTTGGTTGTGACTTGATGCAGAGGTTGTCCTCAGTTACGTCAGTAGGTCCGAGTGTCACTGACAAAGGAAGGGAGCATTGTGCTTTCAGGAGAAACCCATGAGGTCAGGAATGTTAGAGCTGCTCCCAGTAAAAAGCAGTAGCAAACCCTGAGACCAGGAGTGTTTGAACTGCTTCCTGTTATGAGAAGCAGAAAACCTTGAGGTCAGAGAGTTTCAGCTGCTGCTTGCATTCAGTAGGAGAAAACCTTGAGGTCAGGAGTGTTTGAGCTGCTTCCTGTAATGGGTAGGAGAAGACCTTGGGGTCAGGGGTTTTTGAACTGCTTCCTGTTATGAGAAGCAGAAGACCTTGAGGTCAGAGAGTTTCAGCTGCTGCTTGCATTCAGTAGGAGAAAACCTTGAGGTCAGGAGAGTTTGAGCTGCTTCCTGTAATGGGTAGGAGAAGACCTTGGGGTCAGGGGTGTTTGAACTGCTTCCTGTAATGAGAAGCAGAAAACCTTGAGGTCAGAGAGTTTCAGCTGCTGCTTGCATTCAGTGGGAGAAAACCTTGAGGTCAGGAGTGTTTGAGCTGCTTCCTGTAATGGGTAGGAGAAGACCTTGGGGTCAGGGGTGTTTGAACTGCTTCCTGTTATGAGAAGCAGAAGACCTTGAGGTCAGAGAGTTTCAGCTGCTGCTTGCATTCAGTAGGAGAAAACCTTGAGGTCATCAGTGTTTGAGCTGCTTCCTGTAGTGAACAGTAGTAAACCCAAAGGTCAGAAGTGTTTGAGCTGCTTCCTGTAATGAACAGTAGAAAACCTCGAGGTCAGAAGTGTTTGAGCTGCTTCCTGTAATGAACAGTAGAAAACTTTGAGGTCAGGAGTGTTTGAGCTGCTTCCTGTAGTGAACAGTAGAAAACCCCAAGGTCAGAAGTGTTTGAGCTGCTTCTTGTAATGAACAGTAGAAAACCATGAGGTCAGGAGTGTTTGAGCTGCTTCCTGTAATGAACAGTAGAAAACTTTGAGGTCAGGAGTGTTTGAGCTGCTTCCTGTAATGAACAGTAGAAAACTTCGATGTCAGGAGTGTTTGAGCTGCTTCCTGTAATGAACAGTAGAAAACCTCAAGGTCAGAAGTGTTTGAGCTGCTTCCTGTAATGAACAGTAGAAAACCTTGAGGTCAGGAGTGTTTGAGCTGCTTCCTGTAGTGATCAGTAGAAAACCCCAAGGTCAGAAGTGTTTGAGCTGCTTCTTGTAATGAACAGTAGAAAACCATGAGGTCAGGAGTGTTTGAGCTGCTTCCTGTAATGAACAGTAGAAAACTTTGAGGTCAGGAGTGTTTGAGCTGCTTCCTGTAATGAACAGTAGAAAACTTCGATGTCAGGAGTGTTTGAGCTGCTTCCTGTAATGAACAGTAGAAAACCTCGAGGTCAGAAGTGGTTGAGCTGCTTCCTGTAATGAACAGTTGAAAACCTTGAGGTCAGGAGTGTTTGAACTGCTTCCTGTAATGAACAGTAGAAAACCTTGAGGTCAGGAGTGTTTGAACTGCTTCCTGTAATGAACAGTAGAAAACCTCGAGGTCAGGAGTGTTTAAGCTGCTCCCTGTAATGGGCAGTAGAAAACCTTGAGGTCGGGAGTGTTTGAGCAGCTTCCTCTAATGAGAAGGAAGAAACCTTGTGATCAGGAGTGTTTGTGCCGCTCCCTGTAATGGGCAGTAGAAAACCTTGAGGTCAGGAGTGTTTGAGCTGCTCCCTGTAATGGGCAGTAGAAAACCTTGAGGTCAGGAGTGTTTGAACAGCTTCCTCTAATGAGTAGGAAGAAACCTTGAGATCAAGAGTGTATGAGGTGCTTCTTGTATTGAGCATAAAAAACCTTGAGGTCAGGATCGTTTGAGCTCATCCCTGCATTGAGTAGGAGAAAATCTTGAGGTCAGGAGGGTTTGAGCTGCTTCATGCGATACTGTGTTGAAATATTTATACATTGCCTGCTGGTTTGCCACATTTCCCCGTACGTCTCCAAAGTCATCCTAGATTCTACCGTGTTTAGTTATTCTGCTTTATTACAAATATAAGTACTTAATACACTTGATAAGGATAGCCGATATAGCATATAAAAACTGGACTAAACTTAAAAGTCCTGCAACTTTATATTCCGAATCATAAGTTGGTCGAACTGTGTTCTTCAATATGGCTGAGACACAGTATGCATTGTTTGAGAGATTAGAATATATTTCATGTTACCGCAGGAATCCGAAGTTTTGTTCAAAGCCTAAAATGTACGCATTTTGTACTGTTCAGTGCCCATTTGTATACAATGTTTAAGTATCTGGAGAAAGGGTTGTTTGATAAGGTGTATAATGCCATTGTTCCAAGCAGGTCATGTCATATGATGATGACAGAGTCAAATGAACGTGTGTCAGGTCACTGCGACCGCGACATCAACCAGTGACAGTTGCACCTGACATACATAATCGGTGAAGTATGCATGCCTGGGAGGATATGTAGTGTGTCAACAGAGAGGTTACTCAATACACATTCTGCCTATATTACACATGAACTGTTGTAATCCCTAGAACTAGCGTTGTTTTCTAGGGCAAAATAATTCATTACAAACCGGCGTCCTTTTCCAGACGCTGTAATGTAGCTTGCTTGTGGAGATTATGTCTCTATATTAATGTCACATATATATATACTACAAACAAAAAGTATGGGAACACCCTAAAATTTGGTAGTCATGTATAAACTTAAACCTGGTGGTGTCATTTGTACTCTAAGGTAAATGCAACTTTTTGTGTGCTTAATGGGCACTTTAAAATGCTGGAACATGCAGTTAAGCAACTGATCCAATATTCGTTGAGTTTGAGTGAAATGAAATATTGTCAAAAACAGCGATAAACAAGGGTGCTGAAACACAGAGGCACCATGTTTGATTCAAAGGCCCAAATACAACAGCCTAGTGTATGTGGAAGACCTACTTCCCATGCAGCGTGTGGCAACTGGACACTGGCAGTTGTGAGTCGGTTCCGACGGGCTTGGAGCACAACATATCGGTCATCTGCCCTTGATGTTTTTCTGGTCTTCCAGGGCGAGGTCTTTCCTGTACAGTACCAGTGACCTGGAATCTGTCCCTCAGGTTGTGAATGACAGAGGGAGACACCTAGAGACGGCAAGCAACACTTCTTCAGGATTCACCATTCTGTAACCATGCAGTGGTCTGCTCTGTGGTGAAGAAGTTGTGAGGCTTCAATACTGTTTGTAGCTTCTTTTAGGGAAAACGTTGCCACAAGCTGCATGAGAAGTAGGTCTTCCACATGCACTGTTGTGTTTTGACCTTTGAATCAAACATGGTGCTGGCGTGTTTCAGCACCCTTGTTTTTCGCCGTTCTTGACAATGTTTCATTTCACTCAAACTCAACGAATATTGAATCAGTTGCTTCACTGCATGTTCTAACATGTCGGTAAAGTGCGAATTAAGCACAAAAAAGTTGCATTTACCTTAGAGTATAAATGATCTCACCAAGTTTATTTGTGACTATCAAAGGTTAGGGTGTTCCCATACTTTTTGTTTGTAGTAGTTCGGGACTTAATTCATGCAAGGTAGACCCTTACTAGACCCAGCATTCATCCCTCCACACGTTTTCATACAGACCTTGAAGCCTTATTGAAGCCTGCAACAAGAATGTCATGAAATCATATTGAAGCATGCCACGAAGATATAATGAAGCCATATCGAACCATGCCTAAAAGATATCATGAAGCCTGCAATATGGAAGCCTGCCACAAAGATATCATGAAGCCATATTGAACCATACCAGCAGGATGTCAAGAAGCCATATCAAATCGACCCACAAAGCTATCATAAAGTTATATCGAACCTTGCCATTAACACGTGAAGATCCAGGTTCGAACTGATCGTCAGCATCCCATGCTTGTCTTAACGGGCGAAGAACAGGATCGGGTGCTCAGGCTAGCTGACTTCGCTAATGTATGTTATCGTATCCAACTGTGTATAGATCGATGCCCGTAACGTCAGCCACTGGATAGCGTGGCTTAGACTCGCCAGGAAATGATATCAAGGACACCATATTACATTAACAATGCGTGGGATCGAGAACCTTCCACTATCCACTGGTATATTACATTAGGCTACATATCGATGTGGACCCGTGAAGGTCCGGGTTAGAATGAATCTTCAGTAACCCATGCTTGTCGTAAGAGGCGACTAACGGGATCGGGTGGTCAGGCTCGCTGACTTGGTTGATACATGCCATCGGTTCCCAATTGCGCAGATCGATGCTCATGCTGTTGATTTGATCACTGGATTGTGTGGTCCAGACTCGAGTACTTACAGACCGCCGCCGTATAGCTGGAATATTGCTGAGTGCGGCGTAAAACTAAACTCACTCACTCGCATATTGATGTGTGGTTTGGTTCAGTATGACTGCAGGGGTGAACTTGTTTTGCCGAAGAAAGTGTCACGTCAACGCATAAGCTCAACCGCTGCACCATGGATTTGTTGTGTTTCACCCGTGAAGTTCCGGGTTAGTATTGATCTATAGAAACCTATGCTTGTCGTAAGAGGCGACTAACGGGATCGGGTGGTGACATTCGCTGACTTGGTTGATGCATGTTGGTCCGTACATCAACGCGCATACAATATGCCATCATCTGAAAAAGTGGTGATGCTCCCCCGAACATAGACTAATGCTTAGTCCCTGAATATATACCCATGCCAATAGTGGTTGTCACCCCCCTCCCCACCCCAACCCCACAAACACCTCACATCCCCACCCCCTCTCCAATTAAAAAAATTGAAGGGAGTGACAACCATTATTGGCATGAGTATATATAAGTTTCATAATAACAAATAAAACCATTTTAATTGAAAAGGAGCCCCGGTGAGTTGGGAGATTCAGGGGAAATGTAGACTTGCTTCACTTAGGTCTTTAGCATTGCAGGGAAGACTATCTAATGTGGTTTGGGGGCAGTGTGTGTGCTCTCAAGAATGAAGACGTCATTATCTTAAAGCGCTACAGAAGCACAGATGTTACAATCGCACCGGTAGTACAGTAGTAGCTGTGTTGTACCGTCACGTGTAAATATATTTTTAAAGAAAGTCCGCAGCGTGTGATTGGCTATCCAAACTGTATACATAAGGGTTATGTTTCGCATGCCGTCCATCAATCTTTCCTTCACTCTATGAGAGGTCATGCTCCAATGAACGCTCGCAAAATTAAAGTCAGCACGATATGCTGAGTACACTCCATCGCAGTTAAGTGCACTTGCCAAATATAACTCCCAAAATAGCTACAGGTGTATACAAATCTGTTACACTCCCGTCGTTCATTTGCTGCAAAAGAATATATGTTAGGTAAATTCCCTTGAGTCAATCCCGAACTGTACATTTAACAGCACAGTAAACAATACTGAGTCATACAGATTCACCTTGGGGCACTCCATCGTGTGTTCCGGGTGAACACTGAATACGACACTGTGATGCAGGCCGAGACTGTACGTCACTCTGATTTATACCACCAGAAAGAAACATGATAGCGCTCGGGGGCAGGTCGACTGGCCGACCACAATCCCAACCACCTTAGTAAAACTGGCGACATTAAAAGTGCGCCGCCATTGTCACCATTGAAACTTAAACCTACCTATCCCAAGTGACCTAATCGTGTGAATGTCATACGGTGAGGGTTGTAAATAACGGAGATGTCCCGGGGTTGCAATGAATATAGGATATATTAACCCCCGCGTGGCAGGTGATTAATGGGGTACCTTCTCAACGTATGACGCATCTAGGCGGTATTGTTTTAATACAATTGTCTTTTGTTGGCCGAAGATGAATGTTTATCTCCAGAACTGCAGACCAGGATGTGCCTGAGGATATTCAAGTTGGTTTTATGTAATTAGTATGGTGCAATAAAATCGCCATGCATCGTTTGAAGGATAGCGTAATGTTTCAAGTCTTACCTACCCATATACTTTGATACTCATGCAACGGCCATAAAGACTATCCCAAGTTATATTACGTCGCTATATGGCTGAAATAAAGCTGAGGCGACGTCAAATTTTAACATACCGCTTATATTGCTTCAAAATGACTTCGTTTAACTATTTATTCCTTATTACTCTTTTCATCGTCAATAAAACAACGCCTGGGGTATAGAATATTTGTCTATACGTCCGGTAACATTAATCACAAAGCGTAACATTCTACTGATAAAAACTAATAACCACAGCCTGTTGCCCTTCCTTTCCATCTCTCCATACGTTTGTAATAAGAGTATCGCTTCATCTCCACAAGGTCGCACGTGCCGGCAACAGGTGTCAACATGGCGCTGACAAGCAGCAGACGACACGTTTGTGGCGACAACACCCCGAGTTACCTGTCTGTTTCTGGTCCTCAAACTCGGTCTGATAATACACTGTCTCAGGAATATCAAACCAGGAAGTGGCTGTGCTCATGAGGTCGTGTCGCTGAGTCAACTATGACAGCACGACGTATAGCATGAAGACTTTAAGGGACTTGCATTCGTCCCAGAAAATAAAGTCATTGTATATAAAAAAAATATATTTGCAAAATCAAAACTATCAATACTTAATTTCAGTAGATAAGGCAATATAGACTTGCTTGATCCTCCTCGAATTGAGTTTGATTATTTTGTATTTTCTTGTCTTGAGTCAAGACACACTGATAGTTAACTTCACGTTGTCAGACCAACACCATAGGCAAACTTTGTCTGCAGTCTGTTAACAGGTGTGGCCTCTGTTAAATACATCTCCAATGACATCAAAGTCCTACTTGCAATTTTAACCTAGTCATTCGTTAAGTTTTTCATTGCTTGTTTACTGACTATGGATAAAACAAAAGAAACAGAACATGTAATAAATAAAACAAGCATTTATTCAGTATAAAAGTACATTTTGGACGGATGTAAATGTTGAAAGATTTAACAAAAAGAAATGCATTTGTTTTGATTAGAAACATATTTTGCATACATACCAAAGATATCTAAAAACACATGCAACAAATGAAAATAAGTGTATTAATGAGAATATTTTTCATTTGTAATATATATTGGTAAATATAATGTTACTATTTTTTATAAAAGTAACATGAACTATAATTAAATGTAAAAACATCTGTAAATTGATGAATCTTTGTAATGAATGAATATCTTATGACAACAAATGCTTTTCATTCAAACTGACAAGTACATTGTACATATATCACAACTGTGTTAAAGTACTGACACTAACCAGCATATGTAACCCACAACATTTTAAGAATGAACAATAGTTTCAGGTATGAAGGGTCCTGCCCTTGACAAACTGATTTACAGGTACATTTGTAATTTTTATAAGCATAACAATTCTAAGACAACCATTGCAGAGCAATTCTAAACAGTTAGTTAAGTAGCAAAGATAACAAATGGACACCTATGTTTAAACTTAAAATGGTCAATTTTGCAAAACTGCAATTAACTGCACCAAATACATGTTATGTACTCTGACCTCAAATGAAATTCAAAGTAATACTTATCTTGTCTTTGAGTGTTGAGAGAAACTTAAAAAAACTTGTAATGATCTAAACAGATCCATACTAAAGTGAGTGAGTGAGTTGGCTTTGATGGTTCTTTTAACAATATTTCTATGATGTGAAAGAATAGTGTGAACTCATGAAGTCAACTTTGACCACTATTGTAAATCCCATCAGCATGGGTATAGTGCTGTACAAACCAGGAGACACAATGAGGCAAAGCAAGATTCGAACCTGTGATCATAGGTTTCTGCCTGGTTGGAGGGATGCAAATCTTCAAAGCACAAGGGAGCCAATCAACAGTAAGTTCACCACAAGGAAGAATGTATGATAACATCATAAGGCTTGTTAGTTTGATATCAGCAGCTGGTGTCAGTCAAATTGATTTTTCTAGTGTCTTGTAGACAGAAAGTTAAATATCTTAAATATGACTTTAGGGACCATTCATAATTTATAACTCTCTCTCTCTCTCTCTGTGTGAGTGAGAGTGTGTGTGTGAGTGAGAGATATGATGATTTTAAGGGGGGGTCACCCATTTTGTTCTGGGGAGGTAGGGTGTGTCATCAGTTTTGTACACATGTAGTGGGGGGTTGTTGATTGTGTACCTGACAGGAGGGTGAGTCAAGGTAGAACCCTCAGGGGGCATGGGGGGCACTTACTTTGTACAAAAACTTTAGTGGGGGTCAATCACATTGTACATGCTTCTCCATAAAAATCATCATCACACACCCCAAGCCATAAATGATGTACGGTCCCTTTGACCAACTTCTCTAAATGATGTTCTTCACATTTAACTATTCATAAAGAACACCTGGTGTCTTCACTTCAAAGGGCCATGAGTCTTTATTCAGCAATATATTTTCTCAGCATTTTCCCCAGATAAGAGTTAGACCAGTTGTTTGGGTCAGCAGGTATAAAAGAAAGTTTACCATGGATCAGCAGTACAACTGGCGTATCAGGTGATGTCAAATATGAATTCCCACCTCCTGAAATGTTTGTATTTATCACAGAGTGCTTGCATGTAAACACCATATCCCTCATGTATACACTGTATACAGGTCAAAATAAATAAATATGTTATTAAAACCATCCATCTCCACTGGATGAAAAACAAAGAATGTATCAAACACCATTAATCATAAGGAATCACCACATAATGACCAACAGTTTTGGAATATGAACATAGATGCATCCACTGTTCAAATATGAGTGTGTAAACATTAATTTGAAACATAATGCTGTTATGGTTATTGGTTTGAAATTAATGCTATTATCTCCTTTCCATCAACCAAATACAGAATTGAAGTTGAATCTGTTTAGGGCTGCAATTAAGTCATTTAGTTGACAGTGATGCCATCAACTATCCTAATCTTGGCGTGACTCCGAGCTTTACGACAGCTGACGCTGATCACCTGAAACATAAAAGAGACGTGGTTGATTTGTGCTAGGCACTTCATTCATAACATCATGGCGTAATTCACACGATGCAGATCTATTTACATGTATTACCAGCAAATTCTTCAACGACTGACCCAATTAGCAGAAATTATTTGTAAAAATAATAAATAACCAAATTGGTAAGATATTGTGTATTTCATTAGTTGTGTCCTGGAAAGGACTTATCTTCATCATATATCAAAATCTAATAATCGGAGTTGGACAGTTTTACAAAACACACTGTTCACAGACAAGAAATGTACATAGAAAACAACACATGTTACAGATTTCTCTTGTTCACTGTGATTTGTTAGATCTGTGTATGATACATCTCAAATTTATGTTAAAAAACTGGACCACTGTTTATATCCTTTGTTGAAGGAATGTTTTCAAAACATGTCATATGCTGAGCTCATGTACTTTAACCTATACTGAGGCTGAACTGTCAAGATAGGTATCATATAGCACAGATATTTATCATTACTGACCAAGTGGACATGTAAGCTTCCATAACTTAATGTCAACTGTAGCCTGTATATTTGGAACACACCTTTTTCCCGGACTGTTGTTGGAACAGGAAGTTGGGGTGTCGAATGGAGGCGTGTGCCTGGAAGGATTCGCGGAACTCCTGGGCAGTTGCACTCTGGGACCACTTGTTCCGGATACGCTCACTGTTTTTCTGAAATGCATGTTTTAATCCATACTGACAATAGTTGGGTGTCTCTTTATTAGTTTGGTACTCCAGTCACACAACAGCAGCCAATACTAACTTGAGTCTGGACAAGGCATACCATGAATTAACATAAGCAGTGTCCCATGCCATTTGGGTACAATAATGGAAGTTAAGGGACCAATCATAAGTTAAGGCTAGGGTGGGTGATGATGATTTTTGTTCTGGGGATGTGTGTGTTGGGGTGTGTGGTCACAATGCTTCTTCATAAAAATCGTCGTCATATCCCCCAGCCATAAATAATGAACAGTCATTAAATTGGTTACTGAGCAAGATCATCTGATCCATTCAGTATGAGGACATGCACTGAAATCTAGACTTGCCACATATTGTAGACTTGCATGGGCTGTATTGGGTATATCTTTTACAGGGTCAGTATGACTGACAAAGGGGGACCCATTCTAACCTCGTATCACCTTGACTGCTTGATATCTCTATGAGGAAAACTACTGACCCTGCCTTCTCAACTGAACTTAGAGGAAGATCACAGAGACATCACTGAAACATACTATGAACATCTGAGTACAACCATGCATACCAGATCTGCAAGCTTGTGTGTCCCATGGTAGCCTCGGTCTGGATCAAGGAGGTCAAGGTCAATGACAACTTGTCCCAGGGATTCGTTACCTTCCTGCTGGCTCTCGTCAATCACATGGAACACAACATACCTGTACAGAAAAGAGCACCTTGCACTGGATCTGAACATAATTCATTAACACATATAATATTCCTCGTCATAACACACAGATAGTGAAAATGATACATTATCTTTAAGCAGCTGCTTGCAAGAAATCATGACAACATCTGGCACAATGAGCATAATAGTTACACACATTTCTCACATCCATAGAAATGAAACACTTGTCCTACAAAAGTCAAAGAACAAAGTGAGTGAGTGAGTGAGACTGGTTTTATGCCTCTTTTAGCAATATTCCAGCAATATCATGGCAGAGGACACCAGAAATGGGCTTCACGCATTTTACCCATGTGGGGAATCAAGCCTGGGTCTTAGGCGTGACAAGCAAACGATTTAACCACTAGGCTACCCCATTGCCCTTACAAAGAACAAAGTTGTAAAGTCCTGGTCTATTAGCTAACTGTGATAGTACTTTTCAGACATGTCAACAAACTTGCAATCAATGTAAACAAAAATCTGCTCCCATAAGTCTGTGACAGAAAACATGATGGCTAAGAGTATACACACTGACAATGTTCGTACCTGAATGAAAGTTCTTCATATGGTACTTGGAAGTGAAAGGTTTCCTCCCATACTGGATTCAGGGTATTTTTTTGCACCTGAAAGATAAAATTCTCCTGTTTGTAAAAGCACATCAAAACCTCCTCTTGGATTTCAATCAAGGGTAGACAACTCCTACAGTGACTATACTGCTATTAATGATAATTCTCGTATCCATAAGAACACCAATTCACTACAAACCATATCCTGCCATCATCTTAACCACCAGAAATTCGAAATTTTAGTCCAATTTAAGAAGATACCAAATAAGTGCTCTCCAGGCCAAAATTTATCAATCAACGCTAAACAAACAATCTGGATTGGTTTTACACCTGAATCTTGTCATTTCCTCCTAACATCCCATGTCTCACCTCTGATTTGCAGACCATCCCCACACCAGGAACACTGACTTTAAGGAAAGGTTCAGCGAGGGTGCTGTCATCACGGGGGGAGAGGTTCGTTGCCCCGTGAACCGTCACTTACAGGTTGTCCGGAGCCTGGAACGCCATACTGATGTCCATCTCACCACTGATGCTTAGGTCAGTCTGCACACCAACAGAAATTAAACTAATGGATATAGATGGCAATAATATTCGCCTTTTAACTGTTGTATCGACTGAATTAATGTCAAGAATGTCAATATCAACAGAGTGAGTGAGTGAGTGAGTATAGTTTTATGCTGCTTTTAGCAATACTCCAGCAATATCAAGGCGGAGGACACCAGAAATGTGCTTCACACATTGTACCCATGTGGGGAATCGAACCTGGTTCTTCGGCGCGATGAGCGGACACTTTAACCATTAGGCTACCTCACCGCCCCTCAACAGAAGGAGGAGTGGTGAAACATGTGGTACAGTATAACAAGGGACACAAAGATCAGTGAGATGATGTGTAAGCTTTGGTGATGTGTAAGCTTTAATCCACTTGCAGCAGTTTTGCTGAAAAATCATGACAGGCGAAACAGAGAGAAATATTGTAATGGAAGACACTAGACAACAAACTAGATATTGGGCTTTTCAAAAACCTTAAAACTATCTACTTGACCAACTCAGTCAGCAACAGAGGATTTTAACACTCTAAGTCTTAACTGAACAACACCCACTGTGACTTCATAATACCTAAAACATATATCATCAGATTATATATTTTTTGACACTATACATTTTTTGGATGGCAATGTTTACTTGCACTGAAACAAGGTGTGATGAGTCAAACAGACATTGTGAATACTTGGATGGTGGCTTATGTTGAAGATAATGTTGTCTTTAATAAGTTAGTGAAACATTTTGATTAGCAGTAACCATCCGTAACACCATAATATGAGTGCGTGAGTTTCGTTTTAGACCACTTTTAGTAATATTCCAGCAATATCAATGCGAGAGACACCAGAAATGAGGGATCGAACCCAGGTCTTCAGCGTGACAAGCGAACGCTTTGACCAATAGGCTACCCCACCAAACTCATCCCAGTACTGTGAGGCTACAGAAACATGCGATATCTGATTATGCATTTTATCCAATAAAGCTGTACCTCCATTTTCAGTGTATACCAGGCTGTGTGCACTGGTTCCTCCTTGAAGTTGAATGTTGTCATGTCAATGATCACCTCCCCCGAGGAAGTCATCTCGGTTGGACACGTCGTAGTCCCAGACCTGCACAATCAACTTGGAATCCAGCAGCTCAAGCTCAGTCTTGGTGAAGGCAAATATCTCGTTGAACACAGGTTCATTTGTCTCCACAACAATCTGAGTGGTCTTGGCTCCCTGTCCACGACTGTCAGGGATTATTGCCAGCTGGAATGATAAATGGTGACAAATAATGAATATACTATACCCAATTCCAGTAACTCTTAGAATTGATTTCATTCATATTTCCTTTAAATAACAGCAGCTAGTCTTAGGATGATGATAAGCCATGCAGAGGAGGTGTTCAGCCTTAGAACCTGATCATACAAATAATAAAAGTCAGCGAGTGTAGGTTCTAATGATTGTGTGTACAACTTATGTACATATAATTTTTATAAGAATAAAAAATAATAATAACATATTTGTAGAGTACCATTTTTATCATGACTTTATCAAACTAGGAGTGAGTGAGTTACTGTTTATGACACCTTTCGTGTGTGCAATATTCAAGCAACATCATGGTGGGGTACACACGAAATGGGCTTCACACACAGTGACCCATGTGTGGAATCAAACCTGGGTTTTCAGCATGACAAGCGAATGCATTAACCATTAGGCTACCCCACCGCCCCTTTTAATCAAGCTATTAAAGGTCATACTATTTATTAATTCCTACATTACTTATATAGATGTGTGTTTATTCATATTATTACAGAATTAAATCAATTGCAAGCATGTGATCCCAGGAATACAGAGACAACACACATACTCTGATATAAGGATCGGAAGCTTTGGATCTGACGTCCCGGTTCCGCAGCTCTCTGCACCGGATGACCTTGACCAACAGAAGGTCACGATTGAAGTCATACTTGAAGGACAGCTGTACTTCACCATTCACATCAAATGTAGATTTCATGATAGTCGGGTCCAGCCTCTTGTAAATGCCTTTCAAAATCTTCATACTTTGCTAAAATTGATAAAATATGTCATCTTTACTGGTTACAGGTGTGGTGACATCTGGTAGCTGTGGCATGAATCCTCTCTCCTCTACCTTTAATAAATGTTTAGCAAACTCCCATGATCAAGACTGTCATCTTTATGTAGCAGACATTCTGCACATGACAAAAAGTAGCAAATACAATGCAAATGGGAACTTTGGGATAGATCTCAGTGTATGAAAATTAAATTGCCCGCTTGTCTAAACTTGATGATATTATATCATAATAGCATTAACGATTTTCTTTTCAATGATACAAAATACTGGTAATTTATCTCAGGAGTCTCCAAACTTTAAAACAATGGTTGGTGATATTCACATAGTGTACAAGCTAATGAAGCGCAGTACTTTCAAGTTGACAACTTGATATATGAGCACACAGGAAGATGACATTCTGACACTACATGAAACAAAACTATTTCAAATTACTCTGGAAAAGGCTGAGCTCTGACAGTGACATTACTATCACATTTTTGGCTATATTCATCAAATGTTAGTCTGGTTAACAAGAGGCTTTTTTCTTGCAGATTTAGGGATGCTGTCATTATACAGCTAATTGTATAAATATGACACTAAAAGAGATGCTTATGAAATAAGCTTAAAGTGTAAATTCCTGTGACATATATCTACTACCTATATCAATTATTTAAAACACTTTTTACATTATTCAAATCTGCAACAGAAACAATCAACAATATATAGGATACACTGGAATTGTGAGTACCTTATCTTGTTCATGCTGACTGAATTCTTCTTCAGTATTAACCAAGCATTTTTGAGTTCCTTGTCTAGCAGAGAGATACTGTGCAATTCTTGCAATTTTTTCTGGGTCCTGTCTTAGCCTCCTCTCTTCTGGCATCAGCTGATCATGTGACTGACCTGCTCCCATTGTGAAGTCTTGATACTGTTGTAAGAATGATAGGCTTGAATTATTTAAATAGTATTTATCAATATTTACTGAATATAGTGATAATATATTGATTTAAAAAAAAATCAAACATAAATATAGAAAAAAGGCTATGTGAATATATATACACAATTATCATAACATTTGAAACAAGATTATTATTTTCGGAGTAGTTGGAATCTGTTTAGGTGTATCGTCGGATCATGTTTTCAGACAGCAGTGGTTACTGGTGCTGTAATAATGAGAGCCGTTGCATCACACAGACATTCTAAACTCTTGGACTGTGCTTAAGATACATTTATCTTTTATAAGTTAGTGACATGTTTAATAATTGTTCATGTGGTGTGCATGACAACAACGGATGTTCTTAGGAGTAATAAAAATCTCTAACACGAGGACATGTCTACAAATATTCTAATAGTGCGTACGATACGTCCTGTGCCGAATTAATGCATTCAAACGCGCGTCGTCATGCATCTAGCATACACATTGTTATGATATATAAAAAAGTGGGAAGAATAGTATTACTACAATAAATCACATACCACATTCAGTGTGAAGATATACCTCAAAATCCTGTTTTGAGGTAATGAGCAGTTATGTGTTGTTTGGGGAAAGTATGTGAGACTTACGGCCTTGTATTTTGGGTTTAGATCTAATCAGTCTTTAAAAACAAACTGTGATTTACTTTTTTCTCGGGTCTAGAGCCTATATGTGCTTCTGTTTGAATATGACAAAAAGAGTTAAAGTCTATCAATTACCTCGTCTGTAAATAATGGTGTCAACTTGTTTCCTGAGGCCCTATCGCTCCTTGGCAGGTGCCCGCTCCGCCATATTGTTTACCGTGGAAATGGTGATGACGTCATAATTACCGCTATGAAAACAATAGACAGACATTAAATATACCTCTAAGCATAAGATTAGATACTTATTTGAGAAGTAATCACGTGTGACCACCATAAAACAAAATAACTCGACCAATAAAATTTGAAAGAACCCACGTAGCACGTCACGTGACCTTTCTTTTAAGATACGCATCCATACTTCTGTGTGCAGGTGGCCTGTCCCTGGACATTCATATAGAAAATTTGCGTCTGTAAACATCTTTAAAGTTTATCAAAAGTGATCGGTGGCACCATCACACTATGGGGAGTAAGTATACGTGTTATTTTATTCCGTGATCGTCTATTTTTCGTATATCACGTCCCTTCTGCCGGCGTGAGTGTCAGTGCTTACGTGGCTCTGAAAAACGAGGTGTCGTTTTATATAGACACGTCAAAATACCCACTCAATATCGCCGATTGTCCCCATCTGTTGATTGAATAACTCACTTTGATTGTTTATCTACGTATGCTTTTTGATTTCAGTTAAGTTCCTGGAATTTGTAAAGCCGTTCTGTGCGGTTTTACCAGAAATTGCCAAACCGGATAGAAAGGTAATTATCACAGCTGTCAACTCTCCCTAAATACACAATCGTAACATTACAAATATCTTTATGTCAGTATTATCGTCTTATTATTAAGATATTATATTTAACATGAAGATTTGACATTATTGTGTACTTTTGAACATATGGTCAGCACTGACTGTTATTTCTGTTGCATCATTCAACCTTTTGTCTTATTCCAAATAGCCGTTCCAACACTAGAATCTATTATTGCTTGCAAACATCACGGTAAATTACTCACAGAATAAATTATTGTCCAGAAAGTGTTTATTTATTTTTTCTTCATGTAGTCAGTATCTAATGTGCAAATGTAAGCGAAGTGATTTAGCTGAAGTCTTGAATATTGTGAGGCTTTTTGGTTAAAACTTACCATTTATTTCAGATCCAATTTAGAGAAAAGGTGCTATGGACAGCAATCACACTCTTCATCTTCCTTGTCTGTTGCCAGGTATGTTATATTGATGTTACTAGAAGATTGTGTTTGTTTTTCAAGGTTGGTATGTACAGCTTCATTTTGAACACATCCATCACCATTTGTTATAATTCAGGGAGAATTAGAAAACATATTGGCCTGAAATAAATGTAAGGGGTACATGTTCCAAGCAAAATGAGTTTGATACTGAAGTAAAACATGTTATTTTATGTACAAACTTAGAAAAAGGGTAACATCAACCTGAATTTCTTAAAGAGATGAAAATATTTCCATAGTGGACACAGATCACTAGCATCTCCATGTAGTATGATGCCACAGGTCTTTAACTCTAATCATGAATTTTTGTTTCTTCAGATTCCCTTGTTTGGAATCATGTCTTCAGACTCGGCCGATCCCTTCTACTGGATTCGTGTCATCTTGGCTTCAAACAGAGGTGGGTTCTCCAAATTCAGTGCTTGCCATGTCACCAAACATGTGATATCAGTTCAAGCCACTAAGAGTAATAACACGTCAGTTGTATTTCTGTAGTTAAGATGAACCTGTTCATGTTAGAATTAACAAACCTTGTTATGTTCATGTAGGTACATTGATGGAGTTGGGTATTTCCCCCATTGTGACATCTGGTCTGATCATGCAACTGTTGGCTGGTGCCAAGATCATTGAAGTTGGTGACACTCCTAAAGACAGAGCTCTCTACAATGGAGCAAATAAATGTAAGTATGATGAGAATCTTAAGTTCAAGACTCTACTAAATTAGAATATACGTTACAAAAAAAATAATTTTTAATTCAGGAAGTAAGTTTGTTTTAAAGACACGTCAATTATATCCTCATTTTCAACAAGATTGTGGTAACATTTTTTCCTTCTTCATCCAGTGTTTGGTATGGTGATCACGGTGTGTCAGGCCATCGTGTATGTGATGACAGGAATGTATGGTGACCCTGCCGAGATCGGAGCTGGTGTCTGTCTTCTCATCATCATTCAGGTGAATTTTGTTAAAATATTGTGTCAGTGTGAACAATAGAAACACATTACAATAAAAGCAGAAACTCTTTCACATTTTTCTCTGTGAAAGTTAGAAATCTTTCCGTACAAACTCAAATGTGATTGGCTAGGCGTGGTAGAGGAGATGATATGTGATTGGCTAGGCGTGGTAGAGGAGATGATATGTGATTGGCTAGGCGTGGTAGAGGAGATGATATGTGATTGGCTAGGCGTGGTAGAGGAGATGATATGTGATTGGCTAGGAGTGGTAGAGGAGATGATATGTGATTGGCTAAGTGGTAGAGGAGATGGTATGTGATTGGCTAAGTGGTAGAGGAGATGATATGTGATTGGCTAGAAGTGGTAGAGGAGATGATATGTGATTGGCTAGGCGTGGTAGAGGAGATGATATGTGATTGGATTGGCTGGTAGAGGAGATATATGGAGATGATATGAGGATTGGCTGGCTGCGTGGTAGAGGAGATGATATGTGATTGGCTAAGTGGTAGAGGAGATGATATGTGATTGGCTAGGCTGGTAGGAGATGATATGTGGTAGCTGGTAGAGATGATATGTGATTGGCTAAGTGGTAGAGGAGATGATATGTGATTGGCTGGAAGTGGTAGAGGAGATGGTATGTGATTGGCTGGGTGGTAGAGGAGATGATATGTGATTGGCTAAGTGGTAGAGGAGATGATATGTGATTGGCTAGGGTGGTAGAGGAGATGATATGTGATTGGCTAGGGTGGTAGAGGAGATGATATGTGATTGGCTAAGTGGTAGAGGAGATGATATGTGATTGGCTAGGCGTGGTAGAGGAGATGATATGTGATTATTAGTGGTAGAGGAGATGATATGTGATTGGCTAGGCGTGGTAGAGGAGATGATATGTGATTGGCTAGGCGTGGTAGAGGAGATGATATGTGATTGGCTAGGCGTGGTAGAGGAGATGATATGTGATTGGCTAGGCGTGGTAGAGGAGATGATATGTGATTGGCTAGGCGTGGTAGAGGAGATGATATGCATGTCATCAATTTTCGAAATGAATGACTAATGCAGTTATTCTAGTAGCATCAATTTGTCAAGTTAAGGAACTTAGATATTAGTCATCTATGTGGCTTTTTGGAAGATTACCCCAGTGGTTGCTTCTTCCTCAATGGGAACTGTTCAGTAGTTTGCCTGCCTTGTTTCAGCTGTTCGTTGCTGGTCTGATTGTGCTGCTCCTTGATGAACTTCTCCAGAAGGGCTACGGTCTGGGTTCTGGTATCTCACTGTTTATCGCCACCAACATCTGTGAGACAATTGTGTGGAAGGCATTCAGCCCTGCCACTGTCAACACCGGAAGAGGTAAGTTTATCCTTCGACTACTTACAGGGGTGTGATGTCTCACTGGGACACATCCTGACCATTAAGTCACATCTCAATTAATTATGTAAGATAAGTGATATTAAGCTTTCGTTTCAATATTAACAAGTTGGTGCTGTTGTAATGATGTGAGTTCAGTTTTACGCCACACTCCGCAATATTTAAGCTATATGGCTGCAGTCGGTAAATAATTGAGTCTGGACCAGACAATCCAGTGATAGACAGCATGAGCATCAATCAATGCAATTGGGATACAATGACATGTGTTAACCAAGTCAGCGAGCCTAACCACCCCGTCCTGTTAGTCGCCTCTTGCAACAAGCATCGGTTACTGAAGATCAGTTCTAACCCGGGTCTTCATGAGTTGTAATGATGTGTGCTGGATGGTATCATTAAGTCTGATATGCATGTACCCACCTCCAGTAATATGTGATTGTTGTTTACAGGCACAGAGTTCGAGGGTGCCATTATTGCCCTGTTCCACCTGTTGGCTACAAGGAACGACAAGGTCCGAGCTCTGCGTGAAGCTTTCTACAGACAGAACCTCCCCAACCTCATGAACCTCATGGCCACAATATTTGTGTTTGCCATAGTTATATACTTCCAGGTACGTGGAACAGGATTAATTTGGATGAACTTTTTATAAATATTTTGCAAAAGTTTCGATACAATGAAGATCATATCTAAAGAGTAATTGCACTTACAGTGTGAGCATAAATAGCGTGAAGGATGGTTTTATTAATTTGTTGTAGTTTTGATTAATATAAATAAAGGTTACAAGTTAAGCTTATGTCATTACTTGTGCTGGCAGTTGAGATAGATATTTGTATTGAACATTTTGTTTTCAGGGATTCCGTGTGGATCTTCCTATCAAGTCGGCCCGCTACAGAGGACAGTACACGTCATACCCCATCAAGCTTTTCTATACCTCCAACATTCCCATCATCCTTCAGAGTGCCCTAGTGTCAAATCTCTACGTCATTTCCCAGATGTTGGCTACAAAGTTCAGTGGGAACTTTTTCGTCAACTTGCTCGGTGCTTGGGCTGTGAGTATTTGTTTGGTTGCTGTAAAACAATTGAAGAAACTAGCCTATTTCCATTACCTAAATCAGCATAAAGTGTTATGGGGTTTGTTGATTTCAATACATAGAAGATAAGATGTGGAACTGTGCTTAGAAGAAGCAAAGAAAATTGGACAAATTAACCGTTGGATAATCATAAAGCTCAGAATGAGGTCGTACAAGATTCAGGCTTTAGACTAGTAGCAAGGTTGTATGCCATGTAAGTATTCTTTGAAACAAACATACTCATGGCTTCAGATACGTTGTGCTTAGCTTTAGGATTCAGTTTATTTTATTGCTTGTTATAACTGAACAATTGTATATTGTTGTTGATTGAAATGTATGATGAGGTTGTCAATGTGTGTTCTCTCTCTGCAGGATGTTGGAGGCGGCGGCCCAGCCAGGTCCTACCCTGTAGGAGGTTTATGCTACTACCTGTCTCCGCCCGAGACGTTATCACATGTAGTGGAAGATCCTATCCATGCTGTTCTCTACATAGTCTTTATGTTGGGATCATGTGCGTTCTTCTCTAAAACCTGGATTGAAGTCTCAGGGTCTAGTGCTAAAGATGTAAGTACCCAGTTATTGTTGAATTGTATCTAACAACATTCTTACCAGTTGCATTAGACTAGTCACAATGGAAAGTTATCTTAAGTATGGACTTTGTTTAGAAATGTTGAAATGGCTACAAGTAAAAGGAATGATATTGTATAATTACTCTACCAGAGGTGGTGGGCTTGCCTAGTGGTTAAAGCGGTTGCTTGTCACGCCGATGACTCGGTTTCAATTTCCCACATGGGTACAGTGTGTGAAGCCCATTTTTGGTGTCGGCTATCAGCAATGTTGAAGGGGTTACAGGTGTGCCATTAAGGACATGCAGTTCTGTGTAATAACTCTCTACTGTTATCATGGGAAGATTATATGTGTAATGATGTTTTTTAGGTTGCTAAGCAACTGAAGGAACAGCAGATGGTGATGCGAGGTCACCGAGACAAGTCTATGATCAAGGAGCTCAACCGATACATCCCTACTGCTGCTGCTTTCGGTGGTCTGTGTATTGGAGCTCTCTCCGTCATGGCTGACTTCATGGGTGAGTGTGCTACACCATCATCAGCCTCCTTGTAAACAGCACCACAACCAACCATAGGTTTCTGATGTCAGCATCACATTGTCCTCATAAAGCGGCCAGTGATATTACAAAACACTTAGAGCAGCGTAAAGCTCCAACTCACTTTGACTCACATTCATGCAGATTTGTCAAATCATATATATACTCCCCATCAAAAAAGTTTAGACTCACTAGTGTAAATTTAGCCAACTGTTCTAAAATAAATTTTGCAAAACTTTCCATACTGTTTAAAGGTACTGTTGACATATGAACTGATGTATTGTAAAACACATTCGTAATGTTGAAAAGATTGTTGTCATGAGTTCAATAAATGATGAAACTCAGTGAAAATTGACAAATTCGTAACAAAACTTTACACCAAAACACAGCTGTTCATATGCATGATATTTGCACATGCTGTACAGCAATTTGATGCATGATCCTCGTGCAATTCATCTGCATCTTTGTAACCATACATATGTACATAACATATAGTGAGTGCTTTGAGTATGAACTTTTGATGGGTAGTATGTTTCAAACTACTTTGCTTAGAGTATGATTTAACTGTTCAAATGAGTGTCAGTTTTCAAACCATCACATTTGCTACAACTGTCGTCATACTTTGTAATGTAAGATTCTCAGCCATAAGATTCTGTATAGTGTGGCCTTGTGTATGTTTATTGTTTACCCGAGATGTTAATTATTAACTTATTACTACTGTCTAACAAGAATCTGATTGTATGTAATCTTTTTTCTTTTCAGGTGCCATTGGCAGTGGAACTGGAATCTTGCTGGCTGTAACGATTATTTACCAGTACTTTGAAATTTTCGTCAAGGAACAGAGCGAAATGGGAGGCATGAGCACACTTCTCTTCTAGACTTTCGGACACGGATAAACAGTTAATATTATTATTATTATTCTGCAGCTATTTTTCAATCTGCAGCATTTGTACATATTTTTCTTGTCACACGAAACCTTGTCATTAGATATTAAGATATCATTTGCCCTCCACGGATCTCAGTGGAATCTGTTAAGTAGAAAATGACCACAGCTTGATTGTTTTAAAGATTTACATACCAAAGATATTTTATAAGGGAATATAACTTCCTAGGAAAAGTTTTTAAGGAAATGACATGGATAGAAATTTGTAAAACAATCTCTGTGGGTCGTGGAAAAAGTTTGTTCACATTTGCAAAGTAGCCTCATGACTTCATTACACTATTTTTTATGGACAATACGAAGGGACTACATAAGGTACAGTGACATCAAAATGTAGTTCAAGCATTTGTTATATGAAGCAAACTTATTTTAGGTGTCTCAGAAGCATTTCTTTTGTTTTGAAGAAAGTGTCGTATGTTGTTAGATTGGGTCGGTATGAAAGAAACATTCTGTATCATGAGTCCTCAGTGTTGAAAAACTATAAATAAAAAACTTTGTGTAAATCTGATTTTCTTGTGTTGTACTTGATAGCAAGAGGAGGAGTTTGTTTGTGAGGAGTGTTTGTACGAAGTACATTGTGGAGTCAACTTTTGCTGGTTGAACATACAAAAGGGACGTCACTCTGGGCATATAAAGATGGCCGTTTGAGTGGGATTCATATTGCTTGTTAACAAGGAGACTGTTTATGGTGAAGCTGGATGTGACAGTGTGAAAGTCCTAGCATTACAAGTGTCAGCTGTCTGAAATCCCAGAACCATGCTGATGGAAGCTCCTTATGTAGAGTTGTCATCCTTGATCATTGGCTAACTGCATGGGAATATGACCTATCAGACCGTTAAGGTACCAGGGAATATGAGAAAGCCCCAAGTCCTGTGGATCTCAAGAGTCTGCATATCCTGAGAAGCCCATGCTTTCTGCCTTCAGGCTAGTACGGATTGGGTGGTCACAATGTCACTTACTGTGTGACCTAAGAAAATGGCACAGATTGACTGCAGTCAAACACTACACCATACCACTCCCTACATAATTACCTTTAAACAACACAAACTACCCACCTACAAGACATACATATTTTAATATTAATGAGAAACAGATCAATACAAATGCTGGTTTTTCTTTGAACTTGAATTGGTGACTAGTCATACTACACCATGAAGACAGGAGTGACGAAACGTAACAATTCACTGTAATGAATTAATGTGATAACCTTGAAAAGAATTTTGAACATTATGTTGACCAGCTAATTTCATAGCCAATATACAAATACACACAAGTTGTGTACATTTCAAACGTTCTGAAGTTCATATTTCACTCAATGTTCAGCTGATTCACAAGTACTGATGATGCAATGAGATTGTTGATGAAGGTCAAGGTAAGCATGAACACTGCGAAGGTTGAAGGTCTATGTACATGTTGACTGAATGGTAGGATGTAGTTATTTCATGTATTTGTCTTCATGGGCTGCAAGGATCTTCGCTGATGACTTGGCATCATAGAACAGTTTGTGAATCTCATCTATGTCTTCCTTGCTTATTGATTCCTTGCCGTTTATCCTGGCTAAGATGTTGCTGGGTGTTAGCAGCTGAATAGCGTACCTACAACACAGGAGCATGTCAGTCAATGTGCATAGTAATGTCATCATCATGAACACTAGAAGTAGTTCATCAGTGAAACAGTCGCAGATGGTCATGTGCCAGGAAGTAAATGTCAAACTTCTTCAGCATTCCAAGTGTACGTAATATAACCACATGTGTTATATTTGGGATTACACTTCCTTAGTAAAGTACAGATTCTAGTACTTTTTGGGGGTTGAGTCCCATCCGGGATTTGAACCCACACCCTCAGAGTCAGGCACCTAATCGCCAGCACACAAAGTCAGCCGCCTAACCCGCTCAGCCAACGCGACTTCCACAATACCGGATGGGACTCAACCCCAGAAAGTACTAGAATATGTACTTTACTAAGAAAGTGTAATCCCAAATATAACATGTTACATTTGACCACTTTCTAAATGGCATTGCAGGGCTCGATTTAGTGCTTTGATACTTGCACTGGTGCAACCTAATATTACAAAGTGCAACCTTGTTATTAGTTTAACTTGCACCAGGTGCAAGTCAATTTTGAGTGGGTAAACCTCTGAATAAAACATCTAAAAATTCATAGCATATTTCTTTCATTACATATTCCAATAAAAGCAGTGCAACTGGAATTGGGCTGGTGCAAGTAGGTTTTTATCTTAGGTTGCACCCAGTGCAAGTAAGTTAACATCTCTTAAATCGAGCCCTGCATTGTGTAATCGTAATATAACCAGCTTACGGAATCACATCCTGAAGCAAGTAGGTAGATTGCACATATAAATATTCACTGTGTATCAGTACTGAAATGTTCCTTACAATCAGTGTGTGACTTTGGCCATTTGTTCAATGTTCAAGTAAAATGTGTTCCCGTCTTTTAAAACCCCAAGATTAGTCTAAACACAAACACAAACAGGATGATGGGGTAACCTAGTGGTTGAGTATTCGTTTGTCACACCAAAGACCTAAGTTTGATTCCCCACATGGGCAAAACATGAGATCTTTATTTCTTGTGTATCTCGCTGTGATATTGCTGAAGGCATTATACCTGATTCACTCACTATACCCACTATAACAGATGTAAACCTACCACTCATCCTGATACAACTGGAGTAGCAATTAATGAGACATAAAGCACATTCCTAACTTGGAGTGAGTTGAGTTTTAAGTCGCGTTTATCAATATTTCAGAAATGGCTTCATACACTGTACTAATGCGGGAATCAAAACCGGGTCTTCGGAGTGACAAATGCTTTAACCACCACCCCCTAGCTTATGGAGCAAATAGTCCCAGAAATATATAGAGGAAATATGTATGCTTACCTAAGTGTTGAACTTGTTCCAATGGTGCCAAGCTCCTGCAAGGATTCATCATCAATCTGTATGCTTTCGGTTTGTGACCGGATCTTCAGAATCTGTACAAGGAAAGAATCATGTCAAGTCAAGTATCTCTCAAAATCGGATAACCTGGCCTATGTGAATTCATCTCTATCAATTATACTATAGACTGGTGAATACATAAAGAGGTAGGTGATAGGAAAGTAGTTGTACATACAGCGACCATTTCCTCCAGTGAGTATGGTAAGGTCCGGATGATCATAACTCGATCCAACAGATCCAGGGGCATGCCGTGGGGGGCAACAATGTCCTCGGTCCCCCCTGTAATAGAATATACACAATTCAGTATCATACACCTGCTGCCTCTGGATATAGTGTCTTGTGAGTGACCAGACAATTTCGGCTTATGAATGACAGGAATCTGAAGAGGCATAAATGAGCAATATCATGGTCTAAGGGCAGATAACTATTTGGTATTCCCTTTGACACTCTGAGTTCATAATATGGTAAACAATATGGATGCACTGTTGACTACAGCTTAACGCCAAGATGAACACACCAGATTCAATGTTGACGTAAATAAAGGATTCTCCAGATATAATCTTTGAAATGAATTTGAAAATTTAGTAAAATCTAAATATTTTTTATATTTGTATACTTATCCTGCACTACTTACTTCCTGCACTTATTGCTTACAGGCTCGAAAGGCATGGCTTGCCAGACGATGTTAAAAGACGTAGAACTGCAATCACTTCCTGGTCTCGGCTGCTACTCGTCTGCGCCTGCGCATGTGTCACCGGAAGGTGACCTCAGATTATTGCCAGAAATCCCACAGATGGCAAAGCGGGGAGGTAGCTGATAGCGCAGGGTGGGCCCTAATCATAAGTAGTGCAGGATAAGTATACAAATATAAAAAATATTTCGATTTTACTTAATTTTTAACTAATCCTGCACTACTTACTTCCTGCACTTTTATCCGACAGGCTGGAAGGTGGGCGTGTCATATGAGGGATCGCCTCGCTTATGTAATAGCAGCCAGCTCAATCCGTAAATCTTGTGCTCGGGAAGCGTTGGTAATGCACCTATTACAGAGAGTGAATCAGCGAGTGACGATCACGTAGTGGTCATTCGCAAATAAGACCGAGTCTTAAATGAAAAGAAACCACTAATTTTAAAGCTGGCGAAGCTTAAGGAAAGCAGTAAAAAGCATGGACTTGAAATACAAGGATAAATCCTTAACTGCCATACCTAGTTGTTTCTGAAGAAAAACAACTCATTCCCCACATGGTGGGGAATGGCGAGCTGCTGAGCAACCACTAATGGTCCGAAGCTGTGGACATCGTTAATGTCCTTGACAGCCATGTCACGCAAATAATGACTGGCAAAAACTGTGTCCGACCGCCAAAAACAACCTTGCATAATGGATGACACAGTACAATTACTGTGAAGTGCCATAGTCGAAGCAAGTGCTCGAATCTCGTGCGGATGAGAGGACGTAGGAGGGTCCAGCCCAGCCGCTTTATATGCCTGAAGAATGGTCGTTCTTAACCATAAGGCAATGTGTTTTTGCTGACATCTGACTGACGCCCGTGATAGGGGAAGAAATAACCGTTTCCTTGTACCACGGACGCCTTTGGTGCGATCAATGTAAGTTTTGAGTGCACGAATCGGGCATAAAAGCAATTCAGCATCGTCTTCAGTGCCAACAATAGATGATAATGGCGGAATGGAAAACTGTCGATCAGGTTGACCTGATAGTTGGTTTTTAGCGCTGAAATCCCAACACGGACCCAAATGCACAGAACCATGACGACGACATTCAAACTTGACCCTAGTCACGTCAAGGGCGTGAACCTCACTCACTCTAGCCGCAGTCGCTAAAGACAAAAGAAAAGCCATCTTCCTGGATAGATCAGCGAGGGAAGCGTTCTCAAAAGGTTCATAAGGTGCACCACGGAGATGGTCTAAAACAGTGTTGAGATTCCATGCCGGCAGACGAAACTTCAACTTCTGGTCTTCAAGTCTGAACGAACAAAGCATGGCCTGTAATTCTGGGATTTTGGAAATCCTTCTGTCAGTGGGAACCGCTAAAACTGAGCTAATTGCTGCCAAATACGTGGCAATGGTGCCTCCCTTCATACACCTGGACGTTCGGGGATAAAGTAGGAAGTCTGCTATGAACTGAGGAGACACTTTCAGCGGATCCTGCTTCCTGGTAACACAAAATCGTTCAAAACGACTGCCACTTGTCGTCATACAAGTGTCTAGTAGAAGTTCTGTGCACTGTGGCAATGGCTTTGGCTGCTCTGGCCGAAAACCCTTTAGCACTCAGTGCTTTCTGCGAATGGTCCATGCCTGCAGATTGAACCGATCTAGAGCAGGGTGCAGGAGACGGCAGTGAGGATGCATGAGAACGTTCCACCACGTGGGTAGAGGGAAGGGATCTCCTACCACTAGACTTTTTAGAACGGGAAACCAGTTCCTGGCCGGCCACCAAGGCACGATCAAAATCAGTTGCAGGCAAGTTGTTTCCTTGACTTTTGCGAGAACTTTGGGTAGTAGAACTGGTGGCAGAAACGCATACGCGTGAAGCCCCTCCCATGATAAGCTGAGAGCATCCACCACCCAAGCCGCTGGATCTGGGACTGGGGACACATACACTGGCAGTTGATGGTTTTGGCTGGTCGCAAACAGATCTATGTTTGGAGAACCCAGTGCGTGACTTAGGAGAGTGAAGGCCTCCTTGTGTAGCATCCATTCCGTTGAAGCAACTCTGTCGGGTCTTGAGAGAGCGTCTGCTAGTATATTGCGGCACCCCGGAATATGCTGAACTCTCAACAGAATCTGGAGATCGTCGACCAGTTGAAAGAGCCGAAAAGTCTGATCTTGAAGAAACTGTGAGCGTGTCGACCCTTGCTTCTCGGATGTACCATACCACCGTGGTATTGTCTGTGGCCACCAGAAGACAAGTTCCTTGGAGTCGATGCGCCCAGTGATGAATAGCGAGGATCACGGGCCTCGAACTCCAGACTGTTTATATGCCAGCTTTGGTGTTGACCCGACAAAAGGCCGGCGGTTGTCTGGTTGTGTAAGTGCGCACCCCAACCCTGCATGGAGGCGTCCACTAACAGTTTGTAATCCGGAGGCCGCTCTGTCAAAGAGACTCCTCCTAAGACATTCAATGGGCGAGTCCACCAAAGAAGATAGCGATGTAACTGAAGTGGAAGACTAAACCGTTGATGAACGTCTGCCCGACGAATGTATGGTTGAAGAAAGCGCTGCAGAGGACGAAGTTGAAGACACGCTCTGCTGGTAAGATCCTGCGCTGACGTCAACAATCCCAGGAGTGCCTGCCACTCTCGGAGAGACAGAGGTTTGGAGAGCGCACGTGAAATCAGAGACTGAATCTTGTCCCACCTGTCCAGAGGAATCTGAACTAGGTTCTTGTCCGTCTGGAAATGGTCTCCAATGAATGTTAGAGTGTGAGACGGGACAAGCTCCGATTTGTCCAAGATGACCAGCCAACCTAGTTGAACAGACGAAGGGTGAAATCCCGTTGTTGTATAAGAAGCAGACGGTCTAGCAGGTGCATAAGGCAATCGTCCAGGTACGGGTCGAAATTGATGCCCCCCAAATGAAGATACCGGGAAATAGGAGTTGTGATACGCGTGAACAACCACGGGGCCGTTGAAATTCCAAATGGGAGGATAGCCCATTGGAAATGTTGATTGTTGAAAATAAAACGCAGGTACTTCCTGTCGCTGGGACATATTGGAACATGGAGGTATGCATCCTGCAGGTCCAGGCTGATGAGGAAGTCGTTGACGCATACCATAGATTTGAGGTATTCGAGGGACGACATTCGGAAGTGCGGAGCACGTTCAAGGAAAGTCCCGTTGAAATAGGACAGATTGTGAATCATCCTCATTTTCGTGGACCCTTTCTTCGGCACTAAGAATATTGGAGAATAAAACCCTGGTGTTGAGACGGATACGGGAGTAATTCGACGGCTCTTTTCTCCAACAGAATCGCTATGTTCTCCGCTAAGAGGTCGTGTTGAATCTGGGAGTGATTGTGCCAGAGTGGGAACAGCATCAGAGGTGGATCGGAGAGGAGGGGGAGCCGAAACCCCTGCCTCAATATATCGGTGATGTATGGATCCTCTAGGATGGACCAATTTTCCCAAAAGATCCCTATTCTCCCACCTACTGGTGTAGGATAAACTGGGACGACTGGAGGTGGGAGTGTCCAGTCGTGCATGTCCCTCACTTCACTTGCCCCTACGCCCGTCGCCCTGGGCGGGAGCACGGCAACATTGATATCCTCCCCTGTCTGATCTAGGCTTGGCACCACGTCCCCTGCCACGAGACGGCGCTGGGTTTCTAGCACGCCAAACAGACGGTCGCCGAGGCTGGTAGGTGTTGGATAGCACGGAGGAAGGACGTTGTCCCTTTTGAAAAGCGTCTCCCTTTGGCAAATTCACACACCTCCCAATAAATGTCATGAATGGCGTTGTTAAACAGTGTCGACGATGACCAGGGTTGGTGGAATAATTTCCGTTGAAACTCCGAATCCCATGAAGAAAAGGAGAGGAAGCCTTGCCGACGCATTACGCAAGCATTGGCAAGCCCTGACCAAAGGTGCTCACGCAGGTCAGTGAGCACTTTGCCCTGCCATAGCATCATAGTTGTGAGATGATCCAGTCGATCAGGATTTACTTCCTTAAGATCCTGAGTAATGGCATCAGTCGCTGACGCCAATGCCGATACAGGGCGGAGCATACACTTAAGTTCTAAGTCCAAAGCAGCTACCCTTGTGTCCTGAACTTTATAGGAGGAGACAGAGGAAGAGCTTGTCACACGTTTTATCTCCTCATCCACCTTAGTCACTGTCTTGGCAAAGTCCAAGCCATGAATAGGATAGTCATCACGCCGGACTCTAGGCGCTTTAATAGATGGGTTGAGAGACATCCCCGTGAAATCTTCATCAAGTGTAGACGGGAGATGTTGGCGTAGGCACAGGGGCTGACACAGTAGACAGGATAGGCACCGATGCTGGAGGAGGCAGAGGTGTCGTAATCGTCGGAGGTGGCAAAGGTGGAAAAGGTGCTGTAGGAGGGAGAGGCGCCGATGTTGCTGGTGGCATAAACTGAATAAACCGCTGAGGTACTGGCTTGACCTGATAATAAAGTCAAGAGAGTGCTGAGCGTGGACACATCAAACTGCTGGTGGCCATATGGCGTCTGCATCATAGACGCCTGAGGCATTGGAAACCCTGTAGGTGGTTGATACGCATAAGGCGCCTGCCCTGGGAACACTGGAAAGGACTGCGACACAGGAGCCTGGGGCGCCTGACACGGCACAAACTGCTGACACATCGGTCGTCGCGGTGACAACATCGGCAACAGCGGAGGAGGTGAGGGAGTGCCAGGCGCCGAAGGTCCAAGTGACGAAGTTCCAAGCGCCAAACGCTGTAACGCACGGTCACATACGAGGCGAGGTCATCATCTGGATGCTGGTGACAGACACACTCGGAGAAACAGTGGACGCTGCAACACTGGTAATGAATACTACAGCATAATTGAGAACAAAGTCTCAAAAAACTGAATGATAAAGAGACCATAATACAGACATAAATATACCACTATTATATGGTATAGTATATAAGCCTGAACCAAATAAAACACAACGACTACAAATACGGAGAAGTGTTGTAATGGCGAAGTGATAGAGTGATGACGGGACCGTGTTATAAACGAATGACATCACTAAACAGAACTACTGAACTAAAATAACAAGAGAAAGTGAAACATAATACCTACACTTCTCGTAGAGGACAAAAATAATAATACACACAAAGTCAGTTTATTAAGCAAACACAAAAAAATCCCGTAGGATACAAGGAACAGCTGGCAACCCACACGTCTAGCAAGGCGTGAGAAAAGTAATAATCTGAGGTGGCTGACGTCACCTTCCGGTGACGCATGCGCAGACGAGTAGCAGCCGAGACCAGGAAGTGATTGCAGTTCTACGTCTTTTAACATCGTCTGGCAAGCCATGCCTTTCGATCCGTAAGCAATAAGTACAGGAAGTAAGTAGTGCAGAATTAGTTAAAAAATAACTCTTTACACATTTATAGTTTGATTTACAGGATAGATCTGCTATTGACATGTTTAAAATAATTTGTACAATCATAAAACTTATTCAAAGTACACTGCTCTTACTTTATTGTGCATTTCCCTCTGTTTGTGGCAAAGATGACGATAGGTGCGATTGTGGACTCCAGGGCTCGATGCAGGTATGTGAAACACTCAATATCCAACATGTGAACCTCGTCTATGAACAACACACCCGGCACCAGCTCTGCTATACCCTGGTCTATGTACTTGTTCACCACCTTGTTGATCTCCTTCCGAAGTTTGTCTACAAAATACAACAGGAACAATGTGATCATTAATGCCTGAATCTTTCACAAAATGCTTCATAAATGACTCAAAGATCAACTGACATTTCAATTTCAATCAACATTTCTTTTAAAGTTAGATCCAACCTGAGATGGTGAGAAGGCCTTTCAAAAGCACTTAACATCACAAAGTGAATAGGCAAGAAATGAGTTCTGAAAATTATTTTAGATTATTATTTAGACAATTATCCTTTCATTTAGATTTGGGAGAGAGTTTGATATATACAGAGAAAGAAGAAAATGAAGTAGATATGGAAACAAGACTATTACTGGTGGAAATCACTATCACAAAACAAAGTGTTTGGTGGAATAGTGGGGATGTTTGTCAAGCTGTGTTTAAAGCAACTATAAGATATACAGAGTCAGTCACAGATGTTTGGGATATTTACTCTCAAAGTCTTTACATTAATAATCCAGTGGTTACTAACCTGTGATTTCTGTCTTCTTTGGTTTCATCAACTGCCCCATCATAGACATTATATCTTGGCCTCCCTGCAATCAGAGTGGGATCACATGAAAACCCGAAGTACAATCACAGTAATGTTGGTTTATTGTTTAATGTTGCACTTGGCAATATTCCAGCTATATGACAACAGTCTGTAAATAATGGAGTTTGGACAAATCCAGAGACTGACATTGAGGTGAGGTGAGGTGAAATTGGGTTTAACGTCGTGCTTGAGAATGTTTCGCCATATGACGACGTGCATGCGTGTGTATGTGTATGTGCGGCTGCTTGTACTAGACCAGACTGAAGCTGGTTTTATAGTGCTAGCCCACTGAGATACCATGCCGCAGTGAAGCATGAATACCCCACTCAGACACATTATACTGACTCCGAGCCGACCAGTCTTTGTTGTACCCATTAATGCCGAGCGCCAGACAGGGACCAACAAGTGCGATATTTTAACGTCTTTTGGTATGATGCGGTCGGGGATCAAACCCGCGACCTTCCGCTCTAACCACTACACCACGGAGGCGGCCGACATTGAACATGGATTGACTGGGATATGGTGGCCTGTGTCAACCAAGTCAGCGAGCCTGATCACACGATCCCATTCGTCGCCTCTCACGACAAGCAAGAGTTGCTGAAGACCAGTAGGTTTTACCCAGATCTCCCATAAGTCAAAACATTATTAACAGAATCAATGACACATACCTGTGGCCTTGCATTAGCGACATCAAGGTCATGCAGTGTGACATCTTGAATGACCTCTTTCTTCTTGTGCACATCACCTTTAGGAAGTGGCACATACTCCTCTGCCTCTAGGTCGTACTCAGTTGCATAGCTGTCAGATCTACCTTGTCTCTGGAAGATGAAAGTTCAGCGTCAATATCATCTGGTAATGAGTCCATGAAATTAGGATAACCATTCTAAGGCCAGAATGTTTCTCAAATTGTCTAAAATCCAGTTGTGTTTTTGTTCACAGTGTTACACTGATGCTTAACCAGTGACAATCACAGGTTTTAAATGTTCCACCCTCATCCTCACCTTGACGGCACCACTGTTTGCCTCGATGTAGATGACGTCCCCAACCTCCACCTTCTCTTTCTGCAGACTCTCGTAGATAGACGGGTCAAGCTTTAACTGCTTGGTGCCCTTAGCTGTCTTCAAGCCAATCACCACATGGCTTACAGTCTTGCCATAACCTGCACAGGGTAAGATTACATTAATGTCAAGATGGCACATTCATAAACAAACAAGGTGAAGCCAAAGGACTGACAGCATCAACACCAGCAAAAGACCTATTAAATGAAGCTTCAAGTCATGTCCTGTAATAGCTGTGCTTTCTGATTACTATGGTAACAAAGATCGGTAAAAGTACCATACCCCATTTTGAAACACAGCAACCAATGCAAATATATATTTGATACCCTTGAATACTTCTGTTAAAATTGTCAGAATCTGAGGTCAGAATCTGAGGTGTTAAGAATGAGAACCAAAAGACGTTGAATCGATAGTTCTGATAACAGTAAATTTAACAAAAAACAAATAAGTAAGACAAGTACCCAGTTCAACATTGTTCAAGTCCCCCATGTGCCAACCAATGACAATATTTTTTCAGTGCGTGAAGTTTATTTCTTAAGAAAACATTCCAGTTTCATATTAGTTTTACAGAACATCTGTCATTCTTATTAAGGCCAAATAATGTGCTTCATAAAGGTCTACATAAATCCCTGATATTGGTCAGGAAATGTGGACAATTACCATGTTTACAAAAAAATGTACAAGAGTCTATGCACAGAAGTGAGGTGAGGTGAAATTGGGTTTAACGTCGTGCTTGAGAATATTTCGCTCATATGACGACGTGTATGCGTGGTGTGTATGTGGATGTGAGGCTACTTGTACAAGCCCAAACTGAAGCTGGTTTTATAGTGCTAGCCCACTGAGATACCATGCCACAGTGAAGCATAAATACCCCACTCAGACACATTATACTGACTCCAAGTCGACAAGTCCTTGTTGTTCCCATTAATGCTGAGCGCCAGACAGGGACCAACAAGTACCATATTTTAACGTCTTTTGGTATGACGCGGTCGGGGATCGAACCCGCGACCTACCACTCTCCAGGCGGACGCTCTAACTAAACAGTACACCAGTCAATATCCGGTGTACAGATTCTATGAGTGTGCATCTACCCTTTAATACATACCTCCCATAGGGTTCTCTGTCTCAACCGGTGACAGTTCTGTCACCTCTCCTTCATACACCTCCTTTGTCTCCTTGATTCGCAAACCTATGGCTCTTCTGAAGTTCTCCATCAACACTTCTGTTTTCTTGATTTCAGATGAGTACACTTCACTTCCAACCATTGGACAAAAAGGGACTTTGGTTCCTAGCTCTTGTGCAATAGCTAGTGCAATGGCAGTCTGAGGAAGAAAATAGACAATAAGTGTCAAAAATTATCAAATTAATCACTGCAACATTCGTGATCGAGGGACTGTCAACATTTCTTCCTCTATTTATATCATCAATATTACACCACAATATACCTGCAATATTGTACAAAGTTATGTTAGACCAACTCACTCACCAATAATACTTAGAGAAATAAATGAACTCACAATAGTGGCAACTAACAACAAACAGTACATCGTTCTCTTCAATATTATTAACTATCTCACAAAAAACATTCTAAAGAGTATATATTATCTCTGCAAGAATGGTCTGTACATGTTCATTATACATATTCTTTACTGTGTATGTTTGCTGCAGACATGTTCTCTGATTTAACAAGGTCTGTCCCAGTATTTAGCAAATACCAATTTGATTCATCAAGTTTTTATCATTTCTTTTAATTCTCATTTGATAGCAACAGGAAACCTCTGGGTTAAAAAGTTCTAGGTTTACAGGAGGTATAAATTACATGTTGCTAAATTAGGCAAAATCTAGCAATGTCCAGAATTTTGCAAACAGGAAACATCACCTTATAACAAGCACAAAACATGTAACAAGATATTGTTTATGGACAAATAAAAGCATAATGAAACAAACATACCTTTCCTGTTCCTGGTGGTCCTGCAAGTAGCATTGCCCTTCCTGCCATCTTTTTGGATTTGATGAGTTCCACGACAACCCCTGCAGCCTGAAGAAGGAAGTAACATTGCTCTAGTTACCATGGAGATTTGTTAGAAAACACAGAATGTTTATACCTGTTGACAATCATGATTTTAGTTATATTTATGATTAATTTTCACTTGAACAAACTACGATAACGTCACACAAGCAGGGAGACACTTTTAACTGAATAATATCAAAATTTTGTCTTCAGAAACACTAATAACTGACAAAGTTTACACTTTTGAAGAATGTTCTAGATAAACAATAAACTTACTTCACGTGCAAGTTCTTGGCCGACGAGCCCTGCTGCAGTTTGAATGGCATAACCATTGCCATCTAATCCTAGGCCTTTGATGTGACTGTGAGAAGCAATACGCTGAGCCTTTGCTGTACTTTTTACTTCTTCGATCTTCATCTTGATTCTTCACACGAGCATCGACAATCTAAAACATGAGCAGACTGAAACACGCTTTTAGCCGGGTACTACTTATAGTACAACTTACTACTAGTTATTATTGACATTAGCATCCATGGCGCTTTATGAAGTTATTTCATTCTAAAAATATAATTTCATCTTAAATATATATTTAACATATCGTGTAATATTTTTCTAAGAGTTGATACCACACCTTACCTATAAATGAAAATAATTCTATCGCTATATTCGTATTAATGGTGTTAGTATTTACGAAAATAGTTTAAAAGATTATCTCGCCAAAAACAGGACTTAATGTTGATACAAACGTTTGGGATTATTCTAATTGCTCAAACTTCTTGATTCAAACTTAAGTTAAATGTTGGTCAAATTTCATTGCTTTTATTATGTTTCTGTTACCTAATACCATTTAAGACAAAATTATATATTTTACGTTATTGTCCATGCCCCAACTGAGCATGCGCAGAATGCATGGTAACTGTTGTTAATGTAAACCAGCCATATTGGATGTGCAAATAATTCATGAAGCTTCATCTTCCCGATGTATCTCTTGAAGGTAATCACGCACCTAGGCATGATCCTAGCAAATCGATGAACGAAATCAACACGTACCGTTCAATTATTCATCGCATCGTTTAATGGGATTATGGAGTAATTTATAGGTGTTAGTTATCTGACCTCTGTTAGTAAACAAAATGATTTTTCTCTTGTTTATATGCTTTTGGCGTTTGCATCGAAAGTTTGTCATAAATGAATGTCAGTAGTCATAGTGTAATAGAAGTGTCTATACTCTCTTATTACAGTAAATAAGTAGCATGTGTCAAAATTGTAGAATATTTTACCGTTAAAATGAGTTCTTTAGCTAAGATAGATTTTGTTAAATATGTATGAAAACTGACATGTGCTCGATTTTGTACAGTCAGCAAACTACAGCAGTACTAGATCTAGATCGGTTGTGTCGTTTTTTAAATTTGGGAGGTAAAGCGTTTTATCGAGGATGTTCGACATTGTGTGATAAAATGTAACATGTCTGATTTCACAGTTTATGACTTAACAAAAGTTCTTTCACGATTAATAATAGTTATTGTCCATAATTAATGAATGCTGAAATAGATGAAAAGTGATGTCATCAAGCCTGTTTGAAATAATATATTCAGCATTGTTTTGCACTGATTGATTTCAATGTAAACTGTAATGTATTCATAGACGTCCATGTCAAGTAAACACAAATCTTACACTTGTTAATATTTAATTATCAAGTTCTAAACATGTTTATCCGGATTGCTTTCAGTACGGATAACTTATTTTGAAGTTTAAATAACTTCATCCAAGTTTGATTAATTGAACTGAAACAGGTGGGTTTCAGGTACAATCTGTTTAGATTAACTCTACATCGCAAATGAGCTTTCTTCTTGAGGAAGAGTACATACATTCTAATTTCCTTATGCACTCTGTGTGTATCAATTTTCTGTAATTGCACCACTCTGTTACGTGTCCTTGTCAATCAAATAAATGTGATTGACATTTTATGATGACTGGAAATCCAAATTATTTATAAGTTGGTTTTGGCCTAATTATCTTGTTAGCAGTTTATTGACAGCCAATTTCTTTAGCTTGAGAAATTCATTGATAATTCAGAAACATTTTGTCGGTTGAGAGTAGTGAACATTACTCTATTTGTTTCTTCTCAGTTTCGCAGTGGAGGAGTATAGAATGTGGTCAGCCATGCAGGATATATCTGTGTTATATTAATGAATAATATTTATTCATAATAAGGGTGTTAGTGATAAATGTTCATTTTACAAAATCAACATCTATTCTAATTAAAAAGTGTGGTTAAAATATTTGTAGTGTATGTAACCATTTTTATTCTGAAGAAAACCATGAAATAGACTTTTTTAAAGAAACTGTTTTTAGATATGACTCTGGCAGTATAAAAATCATCTGTCTTTATGTTTTTTCATATGAATCACATGATTCACATAGCAAGCTGTTTTCACTGATTTCATGTTGAATCTAAATTTGGATCAATACTTCTTTTTTCAGGAATGAGTTAGCTGGTTTCCCAAAGATGAGTGATGCGGGAGGAAGCGAGAGGGAGGAGGAGGAGGTGTCGGAATATGTCCCCCCGATAGCACCCCTTCCTCCCAAGGTCATCAAGCAGGAAGAAAGTCAGATAGAAGTCTCATCAAGTCCTGCTTTCCAGTGTTTGGATGAGGTGAGCTATTGCTGCATTAGTTTTAGACCTAAGTAATGTGTGTTTTGGAGCATTTTAACTGTAGTGATGATTTTACTCTATATTAGTAATAAATGTTTGAAAACATCTTGTTTGTGTTTTAATCTTCCTTTTTTCCTGTTTGTTAAAATATTTCAATAGATATACGTTTGTCTTGACATACTGAAGCTTGCAAGAACCTCAAGAAAATATCCAAGGATGACTGCAGCATGTTATGTGGAATATCAAAGATAGTTTTTATCAGAATATAAATTTTGATGTTTGATTATGGTTGTATTTCAAATGCAATATGTATGAAAAATTAATGACCATGAAAGGCACATGTTCTTATGTTTTGCTATTTTAAGTACAGATAATTTGTATTGAAAGTTTAAACCATCATAGTTTATGCTATTTAGAAATTGACAACTTATATGTTTAATTTCATGTTACAGTTATTTCAGCAAGGAAAGTTAACAGGGACAAAAGTTGCTTTGCTGAAATCTAAATACACAGAGCTACACGAGACCCTTAAAAAGTAAGTTTTCATCCTGTAATAATATTTGAACAAGCATATCTGAAATTCTTAAATCAGTCTTCAAAGATTATTTCTAATTTGTCTTTTTTGTCTTGTTGGTATTCACTGAGGATGAGTACAAAATGTGTTAAACAAGAAATAATATCTTCATGTTTGCCACCATTCTTGCTTATCGAAATATATCTTTAGTGCAAACAGTACATACATTCTATGTGAATATGAGACAAAGTAACATATATATTTTTAATATAATGCACACCAATTTTGTATAACTGTGTTTGCCTGAGAATCAATTATTGATACTGTTTCGCATTGTGCGTCTATCGCTCTGTGACAAATTATTTTTATTGACATCCAGCTCCAGACATAACGAAACAACACTTCTCCGTCAAGCCAAGGAGTACACTGCGGATCTAGAGAAACAGAGAGCAGAGCTAGAGAAAGGGGATAACTTCCCAGAGAGTTCCAACACCGAAGTCACCAAACTCCGTGAACAGTTCCTCAAGTACAACAATGATCTGGTGGAGACGGAAGAACGTCAGTATCAGCTAGAGTACAAGCTAGAAAGGTGAGTCACACAGTTTTATGTAGAACTTGCTCTAGATTTCATTTGTAGTTTGAAGGTAAAACCACTAGACATGAACTAATGTGCATGTGTTGGTGGGTTTGATTTGAATTATAAAGATAGATAGATTAGACTTAGATCAATGTGTGTGAGTTTGTTCTGTCATGCCTCATTCAGCAGTGTACCAGCTATACAATGGTGGCATATAAATAATCAAGTTTGGACATACAATCTGATGGTTGATATTATAAGCAATGATCCATGTCATCAGGTCACTTTGACATATTAACAGTCATTCATGAAGTAGCCTTTAACAACCAGCATAGGTTGTTATGAAACAATTCTAAAGCAGAATTCCCACTTATTTAAGCCAATTGGTAGTGCAAGGACTTTTTTATTATGTTAAGAAATTGTAATGTTTATCCAGTAACTCAGTTGATGTTGGTGTTTTACAAATTTGACCTGAATGTGGTGTATTTATTATTTCAGTTTGTTAGAAGAGAAGAAAATAGTTGAAAGGGAATATGAACGGCTTCCTAAACAAGGGGTGAGTATGCTTTGTGCAATTCTCAATACATGCAATCTTCTGTCTTCATTTTAAAAATGGTTCCTGTGTTAGATAACAATCTCTATGTTTTTCCCCATACCTGTGTATAAACAGTACGTCCTATAACATTAGTTACAGAGTTATCAGAACTGAAGTACAAAGTCATATCATCATATTCAAAACAGTTTGTCTTTAAAATTTGTCTTTATTTGATAATATAGAAGAAACTATGAAAAATATTAACTGAGGACAAAAATAGTAGGTAGAAAGAAGTTTGTTTAATCCCAGTTTATCTGCCCTTTGAAAAAGTAACCAGCATATTAAATACATTTGACAGGGATGTGGTTACATACTACTGGCCATTTCATCTGCTCAGAATGTGAATATACAAAAATATACTTTGGGTAGCCCAGTGGGTGGAGTTTTCCTTTGTCATCTTGAAGACCAGGTTTAATTCCCACATTAGTACAATGTCTGAGGTTCATTGTTGGTGATACGTTGTAACATTTCTGGGGTATTGCTATTGTGAATGAACTTTCTTAAGATCTATATTCTACATTTCTGTATTATCTACCTTAAAGGAGATCGAGAAGAAGATCAAGCAGCTTCAAGCTGCCTGTGATGAAATGAGAAAGGAGATTGGACAGAGTCAGAATGAGGCCAAAAACCTCCGTGAAGACCTCGAAGCCAATCAAAGACAGCTGGGCCTCGACAACAAGGAGTATGAGGAGTTGACCGAGAAGATGGAAAAGTTGAAGGTATACACTCTTTCATTCATTGTTTTATCACCTATAATGGTTAGTGTTATGTATGCTATTAATCAGTATGATAAACTAAGTGTCATCAGGGCTCGATTTAGGGCTTTGTTACTTGCACTGGTGCAACCCAATATTACAAAGTGCAACCTAGTTATTAATCTAACTTGCAACAGGTGCAAGTCAATTTTTGAGTGGGTAAACTTCTGAATAAAACATCTAAATAATTTAATAGCATATTTCTTTCATTACATATTGCAATAAAAGCAGTGCAACTGGAATTTGACGTGTGAAACTTGGCTTTTAACTTAGGTTGCACCTGGTAGAAGTAGGTAAACATCTCTTAAATCGAGCCCTGGTCATAATATCTGCCAAATATGCGCAAGGCTCACATTATACAGTTTTTAATCCTCCTATAATACAAATATTTGATATTACAAATGGAAACACACTCTGCAAGTAATCTGTATATGTATTACATTTTATCAGTATACAGACATTATTGGAAGTGTAGTACAGCATGAATTCTATGACTGAAATTGATTTTAGATTGTATTTATCTTTTATTTAGGTCCTAACATTGGTATATACATGTTATAAGTATATTTTAGATAAATTTGATGATGCTCCTATTATTCCACTGATGATAGTATACAGCCCAATGTTTACTGTGCTGCCCGACAACAGAGGCCTTTGGAAAAGTGGATGCTCATCAAAATGAAATCAGACATTATTTTGTGCCAGTTACATTAAAAGATATTCCACTTCAGAGACATATTTCTCAAGTGTAGATTGGATTTGTTGTACTAGTTACACATGCACATTACAATAATAAATAATTGTTCTAATTTCAGCTAGACTATATGAACATTTCGGTGATTCTTTTTACCATTCCATTATACATCTTTATTTGTAGTCAGATATGTTTACGCTAAACAGCATGTAAACTATAAACATTTTTGAAGTTGTAGTTCCAGACATGTGTAGATATATTTAAGTGTTACAGTGCTCCATTGAGAATTGCTTTTAGTGCATATTTCCATTTCCATTTCCATTGATGACTAAATGGAGGATCTCAAGGTGTGATTGCTACTATGAATGTACTGTCTGTATCTTATCACACTCTCACCCCAACCCACGTAAGGCTGCTATGCTACAGCTGAAATATTGCTGACTAAATATATTGCACAATACCAGTTATACTTCAGCTTTCCAAGAAATCAAAACAGAACCTGTGTTTTACAAGTGTATAAAGCTACAGTTGTACTGATAATTGTTAGTCCTTTGCGAATAGATTCCCTCTTTTGGGAGACCTATTATATGCTTTGCATTAAGCTCATTGTAGTGTTTGTAGAAGATTTGATTGCCAGCCAAATATGATCATTTATCTTGGCAACTATGTTTCATTTGCTTGTATCATGTCACTAGATAGCTACTTTAAGGCTGGACAGCTAGTAGGTCAAGTCAACAGCATGTAGCAAGCAGTAGTCAGCTTGTCCTTGATGGTTGTGTTGTTTTCTACAGCTGTCTCCCATGGTGATAATGTTCCTATAGGGACTCCTGAGCAGACTAGGTCCCTGGAACACTGTACTTGTTCAGCCTCATTAAAGTCAGATGTTATTGTTTGCTCCACAAAACCTAGATATGAGGACATTACCAGATTGAGACAATCAGGATATATTTTGTAATCATTGAATCTTGATTAGGTTAACATAGGGTATTCCATCCCGTTATAAGTTAATGAGTCCTTTCATTTGACCGATCAGAGCATCACTTAGCTGTTCAAAAAATTACATTTGCAATGTGCAACCTTAAAAATGTTACTCAGGTTATTCTGACCGACAAAGTACTTACTATACAACTGATTCCATCAAAATTATTGTAGATTACTTACTTAAATTTTCTTTTTAAGTTTTTAAGTTTGGAGAAAACTTTTTGGAAGCATTGTCTAGGTTGGAACTTCAAAGTTTGAAATTGGTACTGTAAAGCTGACTAATGGCTGCGGTCATTGTTCATCATATCAACCACTAGTTCCTTCGTCCAGACTTGACTGTTTACAAACCATGTGATGGAATATTACCCACTAGTTTAAAACAACCCCCATTCACTATTGCAAAGTGATACTTAGGGAACACTTTTTTTTTCTTCATTTTTTTTATCAAAATAATTGAATATGTTAACCTTTATGTTATTATTTTCATTTGGGGTGTATTTATTTCTGAAATATTTCAAATATACTCCTATTGAAACTAATTCTATATTCTTTGCCAAATGTGGTTTACAGCTTTTGTTGGAAAATAGACAATAGTGACACTATTTTCAGGTGCTTGTTCATCAAAATTTTTTATTATTTGTAGAAATACCTTTGTACATGTTCTACTTTGTGAATATTGTTGTAGTTGTATACTAGATATTTAGTGGTTGTTTTCAGCAACCTTTTACCAGCCATATATGTGTTGGTTCATATGATGGATTAGTAGCATGTCTTATACCTTTTCAAGTATGGCAACAGAGATATATCGATGAATAAAAAAAGTTGATTTACTTTGTAAATGTTTAGCCTTCATACACAATAAAAGAACTGAGGGGTTTGCATACTCAGATGAAAAGAAATATATAAGACAGATATTTACTGAATGCATTGTTACCATGATCCACAAGGCCAGGGAGATCTGGGTTCGAATGAGTCTTCAACATGGGAAGGAGTTCACTGACTTGGTTGACACATGTCATCAGATCCCAATTGCGGATATCAATGCTCATTATTTCAGTCACTGGATTATCTGGCGATTATTTACAGGATTTCAAAAATTACTTTTGTGTGTTTACATATGTACAGCTCTACAGTCAGGCAATGTAAGTATTTCTGAAGTGTGTATTATATCCTGTATGAATTGCATTGCAGGGTGACCTGGTTCAGATAAATACTGTCCCAGGACAGATTGCCAAGGAAGCTGACAAAATTGCAAGGCAGAAAAAGTAAGAGATTTGTTTATATGAAGCTGAAGATCAGTTCAATAATATATTGCAGTGTTTCATTATAGGATGTATGTATACATGTATATTTGGGGGGAAATATGTATTAAACACTTTGTTGCCAATATCATAAAAATCAGATCTTTTATTTCATTATGAAAATCTAACAAAACCACATATGAGTCTATTTCAGGTAAACTGTAAATAAATTCTTACTGTTATACCAGTGTTAGAGACATTTGCTGCATATATTTGAAGGTTTTTATCTCAAGAAAAATGCAAAATCTTCAAAAATATTCAGATGTCAAATGCCAGGTTATATAACATCCACAACAATATAATAGCAGCGCCAGTAATATAATGTCCACTTGAAACTGGATGTTTATATTGATTGTTTATGTAGAGGATTTTAATATATTTTTATCCTCCTGGCATGTAATGCGGGGGATGTAGTCGACGCATCATCCGTCTGTCCGTCCTTAATCATTTTGTTTCCAGAGCATAACTCAAAAACCGTTCAATATTTTTCAACAAAAATTGGTAGATATATCAAACAGAACCTAAGGTGGTGCCTTTTGCTATTTAAAGATTTTTGGCATTTGTATTTTTCCCGGTTTCCATGGAAACGATTCGGACTTAGTCTTAAAGGGAGGGGTGGGCTTTGTTTCCGGAGCACAACTCGAAAACTTCTTAATATCTTTCTTCAAGACTTGGTAGATATATCAAACAGAACCTAAAGTGGTGCCTTTTGCTATTTACAGATTTTTGTCATTTTTATTTTTCTTTCAAAAGGGAGGGGTGGGCTTTGTTTCCTGAGCACAACTCAAAAACTTCTAAATATCTTTCAGCAAAATTTGGCAGATATGTGAGGCAGATCCCAAAGTGGTGCCTTTTGCTATTTCCAGATATTTGTCGTTTGTATTTTTATTGGTTTCCATGGAAATGTTTCGGACTTAGTCTCAAAAGGGTGGGATGAGCTTCTTTTCTGGAGCACAACTCGGAAACCTTTCCATATCTTTCAGCAAAACTTGGCAGATATGTGAGGCAGATCCCAAAGTGGTGCTTTTTGCTATTTGCAGATTTGGGGCATTTTTATTTTTCTCGGTGTCCATGGAAACGATTCGGACTTAGTCTCAAAAGGGAGGGTGGGTTTCGTTCCGGATCACAACTCGTAAACTGTTCAATATCTTTCTACAAGACTTGACAGATATATCAAACAGATCTTGAAGTATTGCCTTTTGCTATTTACAGATTTTTGGCATTTTTATTTTTCATGATATCCATGGAAACAATTTGGACCTAGTCCAAAAAAATCAAGTTGGACTTCAAGTAATTGTCAGTTGATTTGTTCTTTCAAATATATGGGGCCGGGGATATTTGTCATCTTCTGATAACTCTTGTTTCACATTACTGTTTCTCCTATAAAAAAATATATACATCAAAATGAACACCTGAAACTTCTCCAAATCTTACATGTATATATATATCAAGCTGTGTGGTAAATGTTTTCCATTGCTATTTGAACCAAAATTCACAGCCTAGTAACTACTTTTTGGCACATTAATTCACTGTGAAAAATTATTCATTGGATTATTTTTTTTAAATTACTTGAACTTGGTTGTACTTTGTAGAATAATTGAAACTTTAAGAATGGTAACAACAACAATTCTGTGTCATTTGATTATGTATATCTCAGGTATAATTTCACTGATATTTAGCTTTCACATGCAATGACCTAAAAGTCACTTGTCTGATTTTGCAAACTTATGTCATTAGGTTATGATACACGTCATTTAAACTCATTTTGTCATAAGTTTAGTTAAATGATAACTGAATAACAAATATTGTGCTCTAGATGCATCACTTGCTTGTGTGTGTAGTTTAGAAGCTTAACACTGTTTGGTTGATTAGAAAGTTCACCAGATGTGACCTCCTACGATTGCCGGTACTTTAAATGTTCATGAAGGATGGTATCATTGATTATTGATGTTTTTTACACTGAAACAGGATGAAACGTTGGTGATTGAGGATATTTGCCAAACTTTGAATGCAGGGATGTTCAAAACTAGTATAAACAGGATATGCCAGAATATGTTATTTTAAGATAAGATAATTCTTTATTGCCTGTGTCGTGAGGGAATTTGTCTTCCATGTGAGTGAGCATAAATACATGTATCTCAAATAAATACATAAAAACATGATCATAATTACATACAAATACAAAGCATTGTTCTCATAGCAAGTTGATTGTTGGGACTGTTACTTTAGTCCTTAATCCATAATTGAGAGAGTCGGATTTATAAAGCAAGCTTTAATGATAAATTAAGTACAATTTTTCCGTGACTCAGAGTAGTCCGGATTATGGAGAAAACTGGATTACACAGAGTCCGGATTAGACAGATTCCACTGTATACAAAAGCATGAGAACGGAGAACATTAACGGTTATTCAACAAAGAAATTGATAATGGTACAAAAGACATTTTATAATGCTTTGATTTGCACGTCAGTACATTATATTAGATTGACATATGTTAAACCTATATTTGTGTTTCAGTGAAATGGACAACAAACTCAAGACTTTAGTATCGGAGTATGATGAACTAAATGAAGCATCCAAGATCCTGGAAACAAAACGGAGGAAGTTGGAAGATGAAAAATTAGAATTTGACTCAGAATTGGAAGAACAGCGCTCCATATTGAATGAGAGAGAAAGAGAGCTGGATTTATTACAGAAAGATTATGAGCATGCCAAGGAACGTGAAGCAATGTTGTTGGGAGACAGGTGGGTGTATGTGTGTGAGCTTTTGATTGATGAATACCACATATTACCGGATAGGAGATTAATTTTACCGAGCATACTCAAGGTATAAATTTGGTCATCCATTACCCAAATTCAATGTTCTTTGAAAGTGTGTTGCAGATAGAAATATGCAGCAGAAAATTTGAACAGTTACTTGCCTGTATATACAATGTTTATAGATGTATTGAAAGAATGGTCAGTACAAACCTTTGATAAAACTTCCTATCTAAACTTTTCAGAGACATTTTGTGAAAAAGATATGCATAGACTTTGAGAAAGTGTCAAACTAAACATGATCTATTGTAGCACTCAGTCATGCTAAGTGTTGATCAATATCAAATATATGAATTCTTAGAGGAGCCTCAATGTTTATAAGAAGTTTGATTCTAAGTTCCATTTACAAAACATCATTTATGATGTCGCTATTGTGTGCAACAACATGTAAGTTATGTGGAATAATGCAATTCTGTTATTACAAATACCCTGGACCTAATCACTACCACCGTCTCATTTTGACTTCTTTGAGAGGCATTTAGAAGTTGGAGCAGTAAGGAAGGATAACAATATGGATGAACAACTTCTTTATTGCTGTGAGAGTGACGTTTCGGGACAGGTTCTAACACCGTTATCAAGCAAGTGATAAGAAACAAGACACTTGCTTGATACTGGTGTTAGAACCTACAGCGAAACGTCGCTCTCACAGCAATAAAGAAGTTGTTCATCCATATATTGTTATCCTTCCCATCTCATTTTGAGTCTGATTCAAATGTCACAACACTAGAAAAAGCTTTTCAGTATAATTCATACACAAATTAGACATTAGGGAATTCAGATGGAAGCTACAGATAAAGGTGAATGCAAGTTATCACATCCAAGACAAAGTTATCACACAGAATGGACCCAGGGTATTTAGACGGAGATGTGATCCACTGGATAATCAAGGAGGTTCAGTTGTATGAACCTACAAAGTAAATATTGCTTGGCAGAATGTGCTAGAATATGTCATATACTAGATGTCATGAGATTGTTTTTGTGTACAGGGCAACACTAGACTTGAATTTGAGGCATGTTCATCTGGAGAAGAAAAACCTTCATGATGTTCATTCCCGCAAGAGTCGAGAGAAGGATCGAGATCTCCGCAACCTCAAGAAGGCTGAGTTACAACTCCGCGTGGCTGATGAATCACTCAACCACACAAAGTCTATCCATGAAAAGATCAAATCACAGGTAACAGACTTAATGTAGTAATCATAGTCAATAATGTTTGATTATTCATACACGGAAACACAGAAGCACGAAAACAGAGTGTTGATTGCTTGTAAATGGGGAAAATTCTTTCAAATTGTCATCAGCTTCAGAAAAACTGTTGCAATTTTGTGACAGTAGTACCAGTACATTGCTACATATAACATGGGGTTTTTTATACATAAGAGTGAAGGGCTGTCATTGTGAAAATGTCTGTTTCAGGTTGATGGACTGCCTCGAGATGATGGCTCTCTGGTGAAGAAGAGAGAAGATCTTCAGAAGGAGGTGGAACAAACCAAGAGGGCTCTTGCTCAGCAGGTCAGTGGGCAGATGTGGCAGATTTATGTGTTCATCTTTGATAAAGGTGACAACACGGCTACAGGTGTGATTTGGTCTTTATTGATGACTGAATAAGTGTGCTTATAGTTGTATCTTTCTTCTTTTTAAACCCTCAAATACACTGTAGTACCATTGAATAAGATAATGAATAAAACCAGAGCATGATAATTCATTTGACATGCAAATCAAATATGTATAACACATACATCATATACTTTATAATATGAAGAAGGTAAATATAGTATCATTGCATGTTAAATATAATACTGGCATTACTACACAATGCTGTCAATTAAGATAGAACAACCTGAATTACAGTTGTCCAGATATAAAGATGTGAAATCGGCAAGTAAAACGTCATCAATAGATAATTGTATATATTTACATAATAATGTGCCAACATACTAGAAGTATGGCCTCTAGGTGAAGGTCACATTATTGTCCTGTATCTTCTGTACTTTACTAAGAAAGTGAAATCTCAAATATAACATATGTTATTTTAAGCACATATTGACAGATCTGGCATAGCACACAAGAATATACCAAACATCCTAATATACTCTCTCTCTCTCTCTTCTCTCTCTCTCTCTCTCTCACTCACACACACACACACACACATGATGAAAGCTTCATAAACATATTCAAATAATTATCTGTCTCGGAGATTCTGCAATTTACTAAATCTCTCACATATCTAACAAATTACCTTATTGAACATACATAATATATATTTAATTAGACAAACGTACCTTGGCAGTAAAGAAGTATTTCAAATGTGCCACTTGCTGTCACCGACTTGTCTGTGCTGTGACTGAGGTGCAAGTGAGGGTTAAAAAGCATGCAAAGCTAAGAACAACAGTAGGGTCAGTCACTCAACCAGAACAATTGACCTGGTTAAAACAAAGGAACTGATAGGGTAGTGACTGACCCAAGCAGAACAAAGTTAAAATCTTTAGAGTGTAGTATCACCTCTTGATACAAATCCTTCAAACCCATAATGTAAATTAATACCAATTGCTGATATTAATACCAATACTACTACTAATAATACTATATACTCACATACACTATATACTAATAATTTATTGAAGTACTAATATTAATACTGACACTAATAACTAAGGCTAATATTAAAACTAATACTAATTACACTGTATAGTTTATGGTTTAAGTGACAGTCACACAAATATATGTGAATAAACACATGACAAATGAAGAGTCTCACTGAAATGTACCTTCCTACAATATTAAAGAAACGTTGGTACATTTTGTAGGTTTATGGTGATAAAAAGCAAAGAGCATTGTTTAATGAACTTGCATATTCTAAGGACTTTTTTTTAAAGAGATTTTCTATGTTTATCCACCGCAACGCGTTTTGCGGAGTATTAAAATGGACTCCATCCGTTCGTCCGTCCATGCACATTCATCTTTTCCGGAGCAGAACTTTAAAACCGTTATCTATTTCTTCACCAAACTTGGCACTTGGATAGATCTGGTGCTTTTGGTAGTTTTGGATTTCTGAATAAAATATTTTTGTGTTTCCATGGCAACAAATTTGACTTCTACTGAAATTGGTGGTAGTGTTCTTTTCCAGAGCAGAACTTTAAAACCGTTCACTATTTCTGCTCCAAACTTGGCACATAGATAGGTCTGGTGGTTTACTGGTGGTGTACTGGTGCCTGTTGGTAGTTTTGGAATTCTGAATAAAATATTTTTGCATTTCCATGGCAACAAGTTTGACTTTGACTGAATTTGGTGGTAGTGATCTTTTCCAGAGCAGAACTTTAAAACCGTTCACTATTTCTGCACCAAACTTGGCACATAGATAGGTCTGGTGGTGTACTGGTGCCTTTTGGTAGTTTTGGAATTCTGAATAAAAAATATTTTTGCATTTCCTTGACAACAAGTTTGACTTTAACTGAATTTGGTGGTAGTGCTCCTTTCTGGAGCAGAACTTATAAACCGTTCAATACTCTCCTTCCACTTTGCTATATACATGCCAAAACATTTGACATAATCATAACTAGTAGACATATTCATGAAGATTATTTTGCCATTGTCGGGATATTGATGACTTTGTCTTCTTGTTTGTTTCTTTGTCTTGATTGGAGAATGTTTATGATTAGATAACTTTGTGAAGGGTTAGTTATATTTCAGATAGTTTAGTTCAATTTTGCAAGCATATTTTTTTCAAGTCAAGAATTCCGTAAAATACCTATACAAGAATGGGACCTGGAACAGTGGCCTTGTGTGTCCTTAAAATTTGTCTCTTTTTTGTGTTGTGGTTGTACAATTACTGTTAAGCTTCAACAATCCATTGACTACCCTGATGTGTTTGTTTACAGAACTCCCTGACTGCTGTGGAGCATGTGAAGCTTGAGGCTAGTGCAGCTGATGAGCAGAACTTGTTGTTTGAGCAGAGCGATCTGCGCATAGAAGTCGTGGAGCTTACCAGACTCGCTGCTATCAAGGTCAGTATATAGTAGTGATGGTTGTCTCTCTGAACATTTCCATGAATAGTCAGAGATCATTTGTGTGTCAAATGATCTAGCAAATATTTTCTTTCTGAAAAAAAGTTAGTCTGAACCCTGTTTGTCTGTAAATCATGCTGATCTGAGGATCTTGTTGGAAATGTTTTTATTTACGATATATATTGGAAAATGTCCCTGCTCCAATCTTTTATTGAAACAGACAAGTTCACTTGGAATGTTGTGTCTGAATGTTTTACAAACTCTGTGCTTGTTTACTAGGCTGATGAGAGAGAGCAGAAGGCACGAGACTTCATGAGGGCGGAAATGCGCTTCCATCGCGCTGTAGAGGACCTGAAAACAAAACAGCTGCAGATACAGGACCACCAGAAGAAGCATCAGGAGATGCAGCAGAAGTGAGTGAATACATTGTTGTCAAGGGTGGTCTAGGGGTCTTACATGCACAGTTGTGTCCCTTATACCAGCTAGGATCTGCTGACTGTTGCATTAAGCGGTATAATATTCCGTAAACTGTCAGCACCATACACCATGGGAAATGTCTGACATCCATAAATTCTCACCTTTATGGCTATGACTTCTTGGACTTCCACACAGTCATAGTGGAATCGTTCATTTCTAAGTTTGTTAAGTGTTTTAACTTTTGAAATGTTACTTCAGACTGAAGGAGTTTGCCAAGCTGTATGACGTCATCAAGAATGAGCGTAACAAGTGTGTGAACCTCATCCAGACCAGCACCCAGAAGGCAGCTGAGATGAAAGAGAAGATCAAGATCTTACAGAATGAGATCGAGATCCTCCGTACAGCAGTCATGCAGAAGGACAGGTAAGAGCAGAACAATGGTCGATGACAGACATCAGTTCATCAGACACCAATTTTCATTTGTTTTCCCTGGGTTGTATTATTAACAAGAGGAAATTTTATTTATAATGTCCCTTATAGTTGGTACGACACAGATATGTTACACTTCTTAATGAAACCTTTGCTTTCACTAGACAACTTCAGAAGCATCGCCTGAAGCACCGCGCAAGCCTTGAACTACGTGACAGCATGCGGAAGGAGGTTGCTAAGCAACAGCGTGTAGAGGAGGCAATGAGAGAGAAGCAAGAGCAACAGAAGATGGACATCTCCAAACTGAACCTGATGATCAACCAGGCCGAGGAGCAGATGGTGCGACTCAGGAAGAGATATGAGAGAGCAGTGCAGCATCGTAACGACAGGTGGGGAGGGAGTTGTTTCACCACATTCACCAGTGTCACTGTTGAATTCAATTTCAAAACCCTGGACAACCCAATTAAAATTATTTTGACCAAGGTTTTACCCATGTCAACTTTGCCTGACCAGTGATAGCTCATGAATGTTAACTGATTTGTTGAACCTTGGTAGATAAGACCTGCTGTTGGTAGGTTTATGAATGTGACACATCACCATAGCAACCGACATGCCTTCTCTACTTTTTCAGAGGCATTAAGTTGATTGAAAGGAATGAAGAAGTGTGCATCTTCTATGAGAAGGTTAACATCCAAGGTGAGTACCATTTACTGTACCTTATGTTTGTAGTTTTTTACCTCCATGGGGACTCTCAATACTTCCCTTTGTTGGGGTCAGAAGAATCTGAGATGATCAGTTGATCTGGTTTTGAGTTTAGCTAGTGTGCATTATGTTTGGGTAAATGCTGTAGGTAAGAAAATACATTATCTATCATAAGCAGACCCCCTGAACCCCACCTTTGCTCCGCCAATGCAAAACATTAACTTCAATGTGGTCTTAAGTCATTTTCAAAAGGGGGGGGGTCGAACCCCCTGAACACACACACACACACACACCCCTGGATCCGCCACTGTCTATTGCTTCAAGACACAAATGTCTGTGCATCAAGGGGGATAATTAATTCAACTCAGCATTCTAAAAGCCATATTTGGTTCCTTGTCTCCAGATCAGATGGTTCGTAATGGAGAGGTGGAGCTGAAGGCAAGAGAGGAAGAGATCAGGTTCCTCAAGATGCAGCTGAATGAGGAGAAAAGAGGTCGTGAGGTCATGAGGAAAATGGAACCAAATAAGCGTGCATTTGAGCAGGAACTGGTCACACTGCAGATCCAGGTGAGAAAACCTTCTAAAAAATGTTAGATCTAATTGAACTGTTATTTTTCAATAGTTCTTGAAACATACTTTGTAAGATGTGTTTTATGTATCTACCGGTATATAATTTAATCTCTACCTACTGTTAGGGTACTGGGTGCTGTTGTACAAGCGAACTTAGTGCTTAAGTGATTTTAACTCCCATACTTCAACATGGACTTCAGGACAGTCATAGCCCTTAGGTTGTATTATACAACAGCCCTGGTCATTTATAATAGGGAAAGGGGGATGAGATGAGTGGGTGGGATGGGGACACAGTGGGGAGGGATGGGGAGGGAGGAGTGTCACCCAAATGTATCCTAACTATAAACGGGAAGGGTGTGTGTGACAAAAGGACACAGTTCTATGTGTCCAGGACATGCTATTATGACAGTGATGATGTAGAGAGAGTGATGTCTCATGTTACAGCTGCAGCAGTGTCAGGACCGGATGTTGGAGCTGGAGAAGGACCTGGAAAATCCGTATGACGAGACCCGAGTCCGATACCTGGAGGGTCATGATCCAACCCCGGCAGAGATACAGACTAAGGTAGAGGAGGTAAGTGTGGCAGGCAGTCCAAATTATGGACAGCTCATGGAATAGTTTCAGTGAATAATTTCAAGGCTTCACAAGGTTTTGTAAAATGAAATTATTATGGAGAACGTATTGAAATTGGTGTTATTATTGTTGTCCGTCAAGAGATGGGAAGTTTTAGAAATGGGTTTTGGGAAAGGCCATGTTGCTGTTAATTTTACACACATTTAGATACAGACACATGACTGGATGGGGAGATTGAAACGCATGCAATCTAGAATGTTGCATCTGCCTAAACTGGGAAGGAGATCAGTGTTCTAATGGGGTTTTGTTTTTTGCTTTTCTTAAATAAAATCTTGGAAAAGCCATGTATCTTTATTATGATTCTCAGACAACTGATTCCCAGGAATGATGCATGTGTTCTACTGATATGGCATGGATGGATCCAACATGGGGATGTGGGGGAACATTCCAAACTATAACATAGTTGGATATCAAGTGCATCACTAGTTTGAAAATCCTGCCTCTGCCTCTGAAGACATGTCATCATTCTGTGTTCCCCAGTTTAGGGGCGTATAGGTTCTAATGTTACATCCTATCTTCATATTTTCAGCTTGAGATGAGATTAGCTGAGAAAGAAGAACAGCTTCTGGAAAAAGACTTGATCTTTGAACAGGTCAACCGACTAGCAGACCGCATCCGAGGGAAAGCTGAGGTCGGGAAACAGGACACTCTAGATCTAGCCAAGAAGGTTGGTGTTATTTCATTCCTTGTTATTCCATGAAAATTTAAGGAACTAAATGGTCTTGGAAGAAAGTCGGTTGTTGTTGACATTATCGACCACTTGTTAAGTTTGTGTTATTACTGACTGCAGTGTTCAGCAGCATTCATTGTGTGTCCTCTGTACAGGTTAATGATGTGCAAGCCAGGATCAAGGAAACAACTCGGAAAATGATGGCACTGGTGTCAGAGCTGTCCATGAACCAGGCCAATGCCATGAAGCTACAGCAGCAGCTGCGTGGCCAGGAGACAGAGCTGGAGCAATGCTACATGAGGATGGAGAAGGGAGAACCACCGTCCCGAGATAATAGAGAGAGATTGGCTGCGAATGGTCAGAGATGAGATGAGGAGGATACAGGACAAGGATGATATCAGAGCTGTGAGTGGCTATTGGGGGCATTGGGCACTGGAATATATTATGTCCTTGAACTGTACTATTGTATATGCAATATTAAGTCTAAACACTAAACATCATAGATTTTGTGATCTTGGGTGTATTGACAATCGAGAGATATTCTGTTATGGGTGCTTAACATAGAGATGTTTTATTAAGGTTTCAGTTCAATACATGGCGACATCAGTGATGTTAAGTGTAATTGATCTATCAAACATAAATTCATTCCTTAATTTTGCATTGGAAAGGATCATTGAGAGATGTGATAAGAATTGTAACCATAGTGCCTATTTGGAGTTATGCCCCTTCTATGTCCTTCCTACTGATCAGTCAGATTCCACCTCTTTTGTCGCATGCATTTGCTTCAAATGAATTCGGGGATACCAAGTCAAGACATCTGCTCAATAATAAATAATCTCCCAACTAATTGTAGACATGTTCTACAAATTCTGAATTGAACTAAATATGCACTGCAGTCACTTTGTTGAATGAGGACAATATTTTATGGATATACAACGTCTTTATTCTGTATATATGCGAAGTTTCGACATAGATTCTAATCTCGTTGTCAAGCAAGTGGTACATGAGAAGTAAGTTTGGGTGATATATACAGAATGCCAATCAAGGAAGTCACTTTGTTGTTTATGAACCAGATGTTGATTTCATAGCACTAGTATAATTAAACTATGCACTGACCTCAAGCCAGCCAAAATATAACTTAGTAATTCCAGCCTAGTTTGGTAAGGGTGGAACAGAAGTTCTCAGTCCCTTGCTTCAGAAAGATGGACAACAAATGTGTTACTGGTAACCTATTTTAACCCTCAACAACAACATTGCTATCTCAGTTGGTCTAGATGATTTTCAGGGTGCTGTACAAAGGGATCTCAACACTAAAGTGATCGTAAATTTCCATTACTTAGCATCGACTTACGACAACCTTAGCACTGATGTTGTTTTGTACACCAGCACCCAGGCTGGCATGACACATCTTTAATAATGCTGACTGTCATGTAATCAAACCCCAACCAGACAGTCTTCAAGATACTGATTCTGACTGTTGTGAGAAATAAACACTAAACCATCATCTTTTGTGTGTTCTCAGGCAGAAGAAGAGGAGGAACAGTACAAGCTGGCTGGGGGATTGTACACAACTGCCGAACCTCGACCCAACGCCTACATTCCTGATGATGATAGCGAACTGCCAATACCACGGCCATATGGCTCTCATGCTCCATTCAAACCAAATGAAGCTGGCTCAACTATGCGACATATCAGAAAACCTGTGCCTAAACCCATTGAAATCTAAGCCTTCTTACTTTCTCGAATCGTGTGCATGGAGGAATGTATGGTGCTGGAAATATGTGCAGCTAATGTGAAGTCGAGGGTTGCATTTTATAGCTTTAAAGTATTATCAAGTATTTGGTAAGCAATGAATCAATGTTATGATCTGATTTTGTAATGAGACAGTTGATAAATTATCAGTTTAAGCAAAATCAGTTTCACATATCTTTTAAAAGAAAATATCTGACACATTTTTATGAACCTACCATGAAGTCAGAAAAATTAACCTACCATGAAGTCATGGAAGTGAGGAATTTTTAAACCAGCCACAAAAATCAGGACTGTATATATATCTTAACATTGGATAGCAGGACATGTTGCAAGTGATATACTCAACGACTCATATAACAGAACTGTTTGTCCACATCTGACATAATATATTACAGTATGTCACTTCCCTTGCAAAGTTTTGCAGTTATATATTTTAATAATATCTGGTTCAGTAGAAACAACTGTATGCTTGAGTTTCTGTACATACATAGAATACTTGTTTCACCTCACTGCGATATAACACTGAAGTCTCTTCACACATACCACAAAATCAGTCCTAACTCTTAAGAGCCAAGAATCTAGGTCAAATTGTCTTACTTTGACCATTTGATGCCAAAATATTGACGAGTGTGCTTGTTTTGTACTATTTGTAAAAGGCACTTTGATATGAGGACTAACTCTATCGACGTTTGACACAATCCAACCACTAAAAATTAAATGTTTTATCACATATACTGGGTAACTGAAAAGATTTCATATTTTTATTGTTGCTTGAGGAAATATAAATTTGACATGAAGTAGTTGTTGTGTGATGTGACCCCACACTTTGTTTTCAAATTCATTACAGACTTCAGCCAGGGTTCCTCTTAAAAGAAACATTCACAAGCCAAAATAAAATGCACTGTCCTCCACTTCCCATGCCATATTTGCCCAAGCTCAATGTTATTGATACACGTTAATAGCTTGAAGAAAATTATTTTTGTCCCTGTTATAATACATTCCTTATCTTCACACAGTATTAAGCATTCATACATGCCTGTCTGCACTTGTATATTTACACACCCAGTAGTGAAATGTACAACTGTCGTCAATGTCATGTGTATTTCAGCCTTCCCTCTGTGCATGTGCCTATAACCTGTCAGCATTTCCCATGTCATTGCCTTCCCTTCAATACCAAAACAGTTTATTTATCTGTTGTACATGTCTGTGATTGTATTGTTATTAATTTATTTTGGAAACAAAGCAAATCAGTATTGACACTGACATATTTTTATTTATCTATTTTGCTGAAGCAAAATGATCAGAGTGTTGTTGAGAAGTTGAATTACTTTGGATTGTATTTAAACACAAGGCTTCATGATGTCACTTGATAATGATTGTGATATTACAGTATGAAGTATTTTTTGCTCCTGCTGTGTACATCTCTTTTACTGCCACAGCAAGTCTATTAAAAAAAAAAAATGTCTGAAGAAAACAAATGGTAGGTATGTCCACTGAGGAAGTCATTGATACATACTGGTAATGTTTAAAAATATGAGAAGTGTCCGGAATATCTGATTTAAATATTAATTGATGTTACTATTGTAAATAAATACTGTGGAATATGTAAGTGTGTCTGTGTGTTTTCTCCTCTGAAAGTGAATGAGTGTTGGGTTTAACCCTGCTTTGAACAGTATTTCAAATACTTCAGGAAGGAATGGCAAAACACATTGAAGTTTTGTCCAGCCCATGAGCAGGAGTATGATGCTGACAGACCAATGATCTGTATAGATAAAAGAAGATTCAGGTGTGGATTCAGAGATTATCCCAAATGGACACTCCTCCACTTCAACACTGCTAGTTTCTATGAATTTGCTACTTCGGTTTGTACTTCCATATAGAAAGTCTACACCAGTTAACCAATATTAACCATTCATCGCGGCGCTATATGAATAGATAAGAAGGAGACCTGTTTGTATTTAATACAGCGGCTGTCTGGATTATCCGTGTTAAACTGCAGCAAGTTGGGTGTATCTCGGAGGACAAGGAATATACAACAGTCATTAGTCCGGACTTGTACAAGCTGCTACACACACATGCATGGACGTGGTTATATAATTGTTATAATCTTAAAAACGATATTAAACATTTTATACTCTACCTGCAAAACAAACATTCACATCAACGTTCCCTAAATTCCCCAATACACCGAACTTGTTGATAATGTGGTTGTTAGCATGGCTTAACATCGTTTCGGGTAATAAAGATTATCAGCCTTTTATGAAGGCACCGCATAACAGCATCATGTATACAGCAGCTTCATATACACCGAAAACAGAGTTCAAGAATATCTAGCGGCCCTTCACGGCTTCAGATGATCAAGAGTATCAACAGGCATCAGTGAGGACCAGATGAAGGCTCACAAACATGCTCTGTTAACCTTCAGATACGGAAGAGAATCAACACACAATACTGGCCACAAAGGCTCTATCAAACAGCCCCAGTTGTCCGCCCGGAGAGCGGAAGGTCGTACTTCAATCCCCGACCGCGTCATACCAAAAGACGTTAAAATATGGAACTTGTTGGTCCCTGCCTGGCGCTCGGCATTAATGGGTACAACAAGGACTGGTCGGCTCGGAGTCAGTATAATGTGTCTGAGTGGGGTATTCATGCTTCACTGCGGCATGGTATTTCAGTGGGCTAGCACTATAAAACTAGCTTCAGTCTGGGCTAGTACAAGCAGCCGCACATACACATACACACGCATGCATCGTCGTCATATGAGCGAAATATTCTCAAGCACGACGATAAACCCAATTTCACCTCACCTCACCACCTCACTGCTAAATCCCTTAGTTCTATAAGCTATTTTTTCGAGAAGTGCGTCGCGTTTGCATCGCGTTTGTGGATTAAATCGATAAAACACTTGAATTTTTGTATTTTACAATGTTAGGCATACAAGCCATATACACATGCGCGTTCATACTACGTTTTGTATAAAGAGTTTTCCCCAAATCACTGTATTGATAATGTATACATACATACATGTGGAAAATAGTATCACAACGCCCCATATTTTTCATAGTGTCAATAGTACAGTATCATCATTAACCATAGTAAAGGAACTTATCCAAACCTAAATTTAACCTCAAGGAATATCTAAACGCAAAGGAACGAAAAATATTTTAAAAATCCACTCATTTTGTAGTGCTGATAACTATGGTCGTATTACATCAACAAGTACTGCCATTTTCAAACTTCTGGCATACAATCCTCAAGAAACCACATTGGTATCAATAACCGAGCACAATGTCAATATCTGGTATAACCTCCGCTAACTGCAATAGCAGCCCTGACCCCCACCTCGTGGACTGCATCAGACGTTGAGGTGTTGCGTTTTATTCTTGATGAAAATTTTGTTCCAATACATCAAGATTTTGTACTGGAGGATATCTTTGCTGTTTTCTGCGACCTATAATGTCCCAAACATGCTCTATGGGATTGAGAGCAGGACATCTGGCTGGGCAGGGTAGTATTGCTACCAGCTCTTGACGTAAAGAAATCACTAACGGCATGGAGCACGATATGGCCTAGTATTGTCGTACATGAAGACTGGCCTTGTATTCAATGGATGGTCATTTAAATGTGCTACAACAACCCTTTGGGAGACACCCCCACATCATCAATGAATGCCCGCCAAACGTCACTTGTTCCAAGAGTTTCCGTTGGACATGTGCAGCGTTTCTGCGGCCCAAAACGTTAACACGAGCACGTCCATCAGTCGAAAAATACAAAAGAAAATGCCTTTCGTCCGACCAGGGGACCTAAATTTCCAGTGACGACGTGCTGCTTGGTGCTCTGGGGATAACGAGGGACGACTGCTTAATCGACAAGCACACATATCCGGCCGATTTTAGGCGACTTCAGGCTGTACTATTGGACACACCATGAAATGGAAGCCCATGTATCGTAACACGCCACGTGACACGAGTCTTGAATTCTGAGAAGTGCTCTAACCTCCTTAGGTGTTATCACTGGTCAACTCCTCTCTCACTGGTCAACTCTCTCACTGGTCAAACCCCTCTCTCACTGGTCAGCTCCTCTCTCACTCACTGGCTCAACCTCTCTCACTGGTCAGCTCCTCTCTCACTGGTCAACTCCTCCTCTCTCACTGGTCTCTCACTCCTCTCACTGGTTAACTCCTCTCTCACTGGTCAACCTCACTCACTGGTCAACCCCTCTCACTGGTCAGCCCCCTCTCTCACTGGTCAACTCATCTCTCACTGGTCAACTCCTCTCTCACTGGTCAGCCCTCTCGCACTGGTCAAGCCCCTCTCGCACTGGTCAACTGGTCCAGCCCCTCTCTCACTGGGTCAACTTCTCTCTCACTGGTCAACCCCTCTCGCACTGGTCAACTCCTCTCTCACTGGTCAACCAATTAAAACAATCGAAACTTCAATTTCATAAAAGTTTTATCATACCACATTTCACCTTGGACCAGGATTTGTATGGACCTTACAAAATCAATCATGTCAATAGATCAGCGTTTTGGTTAAGGAAAGGACGCCTTGGCTACGTACGAGACAACTCTCGCCATGGTGGTGCATTATATTGCTTGGCAACTTTGCAACCAAGAAGAATGGCGACATGTCAAATTACGATCTTTCAACTTGCAACTCAATGTTGTTGAAATATCTGTCAAAAATAGTTATAAATAAGTAAACAAGAAGACCTACATTCATCATGATTCATGCATGAAGATGCTGACATACAGTGAAGCTCAAGTCCCGGGGACCATATGCATATAAACACGTCCAGGCATCCGTAGTTCGAGACAAGCAATTTGTCTCATATCGATATACCAAGGAGAAGTGTCTATCCGTACCCACGTTTTGGGGGACTCAACCAACTGCACCTAATCAACTGGACTTGTACCCCAAAAGGCATATTCGCAAACAGTGAAAATAAATATGATTTTACCGATTATTATATTTTATCTTAAAGGTCACATAAACCCTAGAGGGTACAAATGCATAAATCAGTAACTGGCATCGTTATAAATGAAACCCCGTCATTAAAACTACTCATTTCGACCTTTAATTGACTTAAAATCGACCTTTTGACAACAGTGTACAATTCTCACCCGCAGAACGAAATTTCAACCAATCAGAGCGGCGCGCCTCTGTGACGTCATATGAGGAATAGCTTTGAGGGCCGATGCAGAATTCATCTACATTTTAGGGGTAAATTATCGTGTTTACAGGCTTGTATAAACCTGAAATCGTGACAATTGTTGTGGAAAATGAAAGCTATATGTTCTCACAATCTACTGTCATTTAATTTTGTCTCCTGCTTTGCCTAGTTTCCGAGTTACAACTTGTTTTCATAGACGATTCTGTCAAAATCGATTGGTGTCGTTAGGCCCTATTTGTATAATGACTGATCCAAATTGATCCCATTTCTGTGTTGTTTTACCTCGATATTTAATCATGTCATGTAAAAATCTGTTTGTATTCTCAAAACAGTGTCGGCCCATAAGTTTTCACATGCAATACAGCAATTAATACTCCCTTGTTGTAACCCGTGTTAGGTGGTATAAACCTACACATGTTATTTGTCATCATTCACTTGATGGTCAGTTAATGAATTTATAACAGGTATAATTAGTGGTAACACACTTAGATTACCCGACAAAGGTTCCCATTTGGCATTTCTTGTGTCTGGAGTAAATATTCAACATTATAAACATCGATCAAAGGATTAACCGATAACACGCTGATTGATTAATTACTTTTATCTTACACAGCGGAATTGTCAAAAGGTAGTGTTTATGAATGTAGATTTACTAATCTATACTGAATACACTCTGCCGTGTCAGTGTCTGCGTAAAAACAACGTCCTTCTTTCAAAGGATTAACCGGCAATACATTGATTGATTGCCCATTATTGGCTAACTAAATTACTGTTTTTAAAGAAAGGCGGACATTATGCAATTAGTTGCCAGGTGTGCTATCTTGGGTGACCAATGAGACTATACACCAATACCTGAAAAGATTTATCACTTTTTCGTATATTAAACTGTTAAAAGACACATCATTTGGAACAGTTTTGTGGATATTGATGGATACATTCCTCGAACAAGGTAATGGCCTGATATTGTTCCTATAACTTTAATCTGTTTTAATTTTAATATTTGCATTTTGTTTTTATTCATTTGTCGTAGCATTCAACAGAATCATTGTTTTCGCCGTGAAGTGTAATGAGACAGACAACATGCACTAGGGTGTGTGTGTGAATTATGATTCACATTGGCAAACTATAAAATGTCTAGATATTACAGTTCTGTTATAAATTCACTATAAGTATCAGCAGATCGTCTGCTTTTTATTTAGTTTCAAAATGCATACAAGTGTGATAATAAACTAATTAGGATTATAAGACCAAATATAAAGACGCACATTGACTAGTATCTACATACTGGTGAGTGGACATTAACCATGGGAATGTAGCAAGAAATTTATCGCACTATTGTGACTTCGACCCCCACCTCGCTTCCGTGGAAGAAATCGTTATGTTATAAGTTGTGTCATGCAAAATCCGTTTGGTTATGATTCCAATACATATTTAACAACGAGTAGAAAGTAGTCTTGATTTTCTAACTTGATGAAAACAAACTATAATCTCATTAATTCTAACAGATTTTTTTATTTTTAAAAATGGCGGCTGTCGGTCAGGAACATCCGCCAGTCTGAGGGAGGATAAATGGTATTTAGGTTTTGTTTTCACCGAGTTACAAAATCAAAACTACTTTCTACTGGTAGTAAAATATGTATTTTATTGATGGCCAATAGGATTTTGCATGACTATATAGCGTATATCATAAAATTTTTCTCTCGTGGCAGCGAGAGGTGGGGTGTCAATATAATACTACTTACAATATTATTGTTACTTCGACCACAACCTCACTTCCGAGGAAGAAATCGTTATGTTACAAGTTGTGTCATAGAAAATCTTTATGGTCATCAATCATATGCATATTTTACTACAACTAGTAAAGTAGTTTTGATTCTTTAACTTCCGTGAAGCGATCTGAACACAAGTAAGATATCGTTTCAGGCTTCCACAACGCTCGCTTCGCACTCACAAACATAACCCATTTAGCACGAACTGCGGGGTCCTGTGGAAATCTGTGCATGGGGACACCATCGCCCGACCCTAGGAGCAATTGACGACAAAGCAACGATTCGGCATGTCGTCGTTGATGTCGAGAAATCATCAAAATGATGAGCGTGCTACACATTTTCTATACAACTAACTGAAAATCGTTCCTCATCTGACGTCACTGCAGTGCTCTGGTGACAGAGTTACGTAACCTGTCTGTGGTTTCGTTGGCGGGCGAGAGGGAAGCAGGCGACTTTTGGCCACTTTTAATCGCTCGGTATTAATTAACCACAAGTTTTTTAAAGAATAAATTTGGTGTTCCGCATAAGACTAACCACAAATCTTTCATATGTAATGGTTAAAAGAGTAACAAAAACAAAGTTTAGTGGTTCTTTAAATTCCTGAAAATCAGTCTTGTCAGAGACCATATACCGGAAAATGGTCTCTGGTCTTGTACGTACTTCCACAAAACATTGATGAACAGGAATAAAGTTAAGACATTGTTGCAGAAGTTTTGTTTCTTTGAGTCAGCCAAATAATGTATATTAATGCTGAAGGTACGAATTTGCAATTTTCGGTGAGTACGAATCGTTGTAGTCCTTACAAACATGTCTTCGTTCCACGCCATCGGGTACTATCAGCATACATGTTCATACAAACTAGTTTAGTTATTAAAATTAACTCAGAGAAACTAATTAAGAAACTCAATATTAGACGATATGTATGTATGTATGTATGTATGTATGTATGTATGTATGTATTCTTCAAACTAACTGAACATTCTGCCACGAACACATTAAGAAGAGACCATTATTTTCTGTGAAATTTTTTTCTCTGATATCGTGCTTCATGTACACGTGCCTACACCTTCCCGGACAAATAAAACAATAAAATCGCAATAAAACATGATTATCGTTCCCCATAAGGGCCTTCAGCAAGGCTACATCTGGCTGTGGGCTGGTTCCCGGCTCCCTTTGCGCGCGCTAACGTATATTGCGATATGCGAGACGGGGCCCAGCTTACATCTGGCTGATGCAAGAAAATGTCAACATGGAGAATGTATTGTACTATCGACATGTGTTAGTAAAAGAAAGTCAAAGTGATTAGAATTTAAAAGATCATATGTTAAAAAAATCTCAATGTATGTAATTATTTGTTTCTACGTTCCAATTTATATATGTCTCGTTTTGAATTCTCGTTCACATTCAAAACAAATTCAATAATCAAACCTCCCTCAAGCCGACAACATAAATGCGCATGCGTAGTGGTCCACGTTGGGAATATTGAGAACGCAAACCGGCAAGGAAGGCACACAGGCGGATTGTTGCGTGAAGTCTTATTTAATTTGTCAACATGGTGTTAGATATTGAGCTCTTCCGTGGCGACAAGGGCGGAGACCCTGCTAAAATCAAGGAGAATCAGGCAAAAAGATTTAAGGATGTTACGTTAGTGGACAAGGTAGTCGACCACGACACAGCTTGGCGGAAACGTAAGTTTGGGAGTTGACATCTGCCTGTTGAGGCCAAGTTTAGACTACTAGTATGTGACAGGTGATGTCGTCATTCATATTGTAATCATGTGCAAGATAATGTGTAGTGTCTGTTACTACTCTTATATCATGCTTAACTAATTCCTAAGACATCGGGGCGGTGGGGTAGCGTAGTGGTTAAAGCGTTCATTCGTCACGCCGAAGACCCGGGTTCGATTCCCCACATGGGTACAATATGTGAAGCCCATTTCGCTGGTGTCCCCCGCCGTGATATAGATGGAATATTCCTAAAATCGGCGTAAAACTAAACTCACTCACTCCTAAGACATCTGACTGCCTCCATGGTGTAGTGGTTAGAGCGTCGGCCCAGAGAGAGCGGAAGGTTGCGGGTTCCACAGGGGCTTTATTGCTGAAAATAATAATACGTCCTGGGTCCTACAAGCGTACACTGATATCCATAGTCATATAAAGAAGGAAAAGGGATGTAACGCACACAAACTTGTCAAACACCCCCTCTCGGGGGCGAAATCTGGGTGGGACATTGTGAAAACACAGCCGGGATTCTTACTGAAATAAAGCCAGATGAATTCCCTTTCGATTAAATCCAAAATTGTCAAAATCGGTGCACTATTGACCGAGTAACTTTGCTTGGAACTCGAGGAAAAGACAACTTTTCATTTTTGAGTTACTGATTTTACCTGCCATACGACTTTATTGGAAATTAGCGGTATCAGTGATCGAGGCCACCATGTTTGTCCTTCACCTTCAATAGACTCAAGACTAATCGACAAGCTACTCTATTTAGGAAATAAAGTTCGGCTTCTACCCCCAATGTGTCTTGTAATAAAGTATAGTTTTGCCCTTAACTATTATAATTCAAAGCACGAGGATCTAACTTTATTTCCTAAATATCACATTTACCTGAAATAAAAATAATAGTGGTATTTTATTTTTAACCAATCAGAGAGTAGCTCGTCGCTGGTGCTGAAGTCTATTGAAGGTGAAGGACAAACATGGTGGCCTCGGACACCGACACCGCTTAATTTTCCAATAAAGTCGCGGTATGGCAGGTAAAATCAGTAACTCATTTCATTTGAGATGTTGTAATGCTTTATAAAGCTGAATATCTAGCAATTACGAAAAGGTTATGTCTTCTTTCATCGTATCATGTTGTTTTCCATTGAAATAGGTTCGATCCCCAACCGCGTCATACCAAAAGACGTTAAAATATGGTACTTGTTGGTCCCGGTCTGGCGCTCGGCATTAATGGGTACAACAAGGACTGGTCGGCTTGGAGTGAGTATAATGTGTCTGGAGTGGGGTATTAAAATATGAGTGCGGCATGGTATCAAGGACTGGTGGGCTAGCACTATAAAACTGAGTGGGGTATTCATGCTTCACTCGCGGCAGTCTCCAGTGGGCTAGCACTATAAAACCAGCGCCAGTCTGGGCTAGGAAGCAGCCGCACATACACACGCATGCACGCCGCATATGAGCCAAAATATTCTCAGCACGATGTTAAACTCACCTCACCTCACCTCACCTCACCTAAGACATCTTGCCCCTCCTTAGGTTTGAATGAATATGGTGTGTTCGTACACTGAGGCGAAGTTTGTAATTTGTCCTATGGTTTTTATTACTATTTTAGGATCCTGATATATAATGGTATACAGCTGATCATTCTTTTTTTTATGTATTCTGCAATTACGAATGTTTTATTATATGTTCATTATAATGAATAAATCTTAACTCATCAGTTTACTGTTGCATTTCTGAGTGAGTGAGTGAATTTTACACCGCTTTTAGCAATATTCCAGCAATATCACGGTGGGGAACACACAAAAAATGGGCTTCATCCATCAATACATGTGGGGAATCGAAACCTGGTTCTTCGATGTGGTGAGCAAACACTTTAACCAGTGCCTGTTGCACTTCTGAGAAACATAATACCTGTGAAGATCCAGGTTAGAATTGGTCTTCAGCAGCCCATGTTTGTCATAAAAGGTGACTAACACGATCGGGTGGTCAGGCTCACTGACTTGGTTGACACATACTTGTATCCTAATTGTGTAGATCTATGCTCATGCTTTTGATCACTGGATTGTTTGGTCCAGAATTGATTATTTACAGACCGTGGACGTATAGCTGGAATATTGCTGAGTGCGACGTTAAACAACAAACTGAAAAACATATTGAATGAAAATAAGATCAAACATAAGATTACTTTTGGATTTGCTGTCTGCAATAGTCTAAATCTTATTATTGATTGTATACTTCTTTTCTTTAAGTGAGGTTTCGAGCAGATTTGCTGAACAAGCTCAAGAACATGTGTAGCAAAGTTATTGGAGAAAAAATGAAGGTTGGTATATTGTATGTATGTTATCATGGGTATGTGACAGAATAAGTTAGCAGGTATAGTTAGTGGGCAAACTGCTATAAATATCCAACAGCTGTTTCATCATTCCTAACAACTTTGATATTTATTCATGCTGCCAACCAATGCTTGTTTATTGACACATGATGATAATCATAATATATAGGGATAACTAATTAACTAACAACTAACTCACAGTCCATGATCAGCCTATCATGGCTTACATCATGTTTGAATGACAAGCAAAGGAGGCTTGATTCAGGAGTCAGAGTGGGTTACATCACTTACTTGTGTGCTGGCGATTATGTGGCACATTCTTGAGTGTGTGGTTTGAATCCCAGATGGGACTATACCCCAAAATGTATCAGAATGTGCACTTTCCTGCAGAAGAGTAATTCCATGCATAAAATAGTTTCATGTCTATGTCTCTGGTGTGATTTCCATAGTACTCTTCAAGTCTACTACCCATCACGTTGATATATGTCCTTTTGTGAGTAATGTCTGACATTATCTAAACCATATGATCTTGATAATTATTAGACGTCATGGATATCTGCATTTCTGCATGTCTATACTTTTTTCATTTATTCAGATGATTAGTACTTAGCATTCTTATAGCTTTACCTTTTCAATATGGCAATATGACAAGATATCCAGGAAACACAATGATTACACTGGTGATGTATGTCAATCTTACTTCACAGAAAAAGGAAGCAGTGGGTGATGATTCAGCAGTTCCTTCAGAAGTCCTGGACAACATGGATAGTATTACACAAGATCAGCTAGCAGTAGGCATCCCTCTGCATTCTTTGTCGCAAAGAACTGTCTCAGCAGTCTATGCTGAAAACATTTGATTCTACAACAAGTGCTAACCCAAACTTGTCTAAACCATTTTGAGTAGATTTAAATCATTTGTTTTCTACCTTAATTATTTTAAGTGTGATTAGCTTGACTTTCTACCCATTTAACAGACTCATCATCAGCCTGTCTTCAGGACTCCAAATTGCTTGTGTTGTGCTGAAACCAGAACTAAGTACTTTCCTATGAATAAACAGGATAACTACCTGGTAAAGACCAGGTTCACTGAAAACACTTGGGAATACTGTAATTTTACATTGATCACAGGGTTTGACAGTGAACCAGATCAAGAAAGTACGAGTCGAGATCGATGAAGCCATGAAGAAGAATGATTCTGATCTGGCTACAGAGGAAACCTTGCGGAATGAATGTCTCAAGGATATTGGCAATTTGATTCACGAAAGCTGCATTGTCAGCAATGATGAGGTCAGTTTTTTACGTCATCTTTATTCTGATTATTTCCTTTGTGTTTCAAACTTGATAGTTCTTTTTCATAGAGATCGTCCTTGGGGTACATATTATGCATTTTCCGGGCTGAAAATGTCCTGTGACAGTTGTATCAATGTTTTTTTTAAAAAATATTGTACAATAAATAAAAATCTTTTTATTTATTATACGGCCCCAACCTCGTGGAGTTAACTCCCGTTGAGCATGCGTACCAACTGGGTAAGCACCTAGGCCCGTATCATCATTCCTTCTGCTGTCACTGCCGTGTACGGATGTGTCGTGCAGAGCTGAACTCTTTTGAAGTTAAGAGAATGATGTCTGGGACGCCACCACCTGTATGTATGGTCTTTATTTTGTCCTTGAAAGGAACAGTAAAGCTTTGCGGTCGGTTGTCTCATAATTGTGACTTTGTATTCATTATTTTACGCTAACTTTCCCGTGGTTTACGCACGTGTTGCTATTCCATGGCGGGAAGTTTAGCATGCCACGTGGTTGTCATATTGCGTTTTAACCAACTATTATAGCTACATGCTTGCGTGTTTGCTTCAGGCGTTTTCCGGTTGTACTGTCTGCGGGCAAAGTATTCCCCGTGCAGACCGTCATGATAAGTGTCTAGTGTGCCTTGAAAAAGGCGGCCATAACCCTGACACGTGCGAGATATGTATGGGCTTCTCCCCCCGCACCCAGAAGAGGCGGGCTGCAGACTTTCTCTTCTATCGGGAAATGCGAGAGGCGGGAGGGGAACTGACCCAGGTCCCCCTGTCTAAAGCTAAAAAGCCAAAAAGTAAAGGCAAAAAGGCTAAATCGCGCAGTCAGTCGCCTTCAACTGCTCCTAGCGGTTTCGACATGTCTCTAATCACGCAATTATTCCAGCACCACATGGACTCGGTGAAGTCCCTTGTTCACGAGTCGGTTGGAGGTCTCCGACAGGAGTTCCTCGCCCACTCGGAGCAGGGGACGGAGAGTCTGGGGGTGGGATCGCCGAGCCTGGCTCGATCCCTCGGCCTGGAGGCATCTGTTGATCCGTTGCCTCTGGCTTCGGGTCCGACGCCTCGGCTGCCCCGGAGGGGGAGGCTTCGCTCCCAGTCCCCCTCTCGGAGTTGGCGCAGGGTCCGTTGAGGATTCCTTGGGTTCCGGTCCCTGCGCCGTCCCGCCCCATGAGAGCGGAGGAGCCAGTTTTGCCTGGTCTTCTTCCTGCGTCTCGGGACCGGAGTTCGGGCGTGGTGTCGGGCACTAAAGCAGGGCTGCTCCGGTTCTTCCCTTCCCTCTGTGTCTGGTGCTAGGCCGCCCACCGGGTCGGGTTCGGGTCCTCTTCGTGAGGAGATCCAGCCTCGGGCTCGGGCTGGGGCGACGAGTCCATGGACATTGGGGAGGTCGAGGAGCCGGAGGGTGCCTTCAGTTTCTCGATGGCTCTGAGGGAAGTCCGCAACGCGCATTGCGAGCATTCCCCAGGCCGCTGTGCCCCAGCCGCCGGATTTGACTGAGTTGCTTACCAGGCGAGAGCGTTTGCCCCTAGGGATTCGCTGCTCCACATTCTGCCGCTGGTGCAGGGCCAGTGGATCCCTCTTGGCTGGGTCACGCCCGGCTTTGACTTGCCAGAGCTTGTCAGGAGGTACCAGCTTGGGGAAGATTCCTGTTCATTCGTGCCGTCCAGAATGTGTGTTGCTTGCCCAGGCTTCCTCGGAGCAGCTCCGGCTGCCAGGCAAGGGCGTTTGGCGCCACCTTTGCCCTGGTAGGCCCTCACGCAGCATGCTTGAGGAGGTTTACGGGAACGCTATGCAGCAGGTGCGGGTGGTGGTCCACGAGGCCTACCTCTCCTCGATTCAGAGGTCGGCCCTGGAGGCGGAGGAGCCCGCTGGAGACGTTTCTCAGCATGTTGTTCTCCTCCGTCAACTTTCCAAAGTGCAGGCCCACCTCGCGAGCGACTCCTTGCGGTCGGCCGCGTCGACGGTGATGTGCGCAGTCATGGGGATGCGCAAGCTGTGGCTGTCTATGTCAGCTACACAGCAGACCTTGCTGGCCCTCCCCTACCGTCTGGGAGCGACGTTGTTTCCTGGGGCCCAGCAGGTCATCCGGGAGGTTGCCGCTGCAGCTACCTCCTTCAAGGACTCCAAGGCCTTGTTGGAGCAACCGCGGTCTTCTCACCCCCGCGCTCCCGTTCCGGCTTCCTCCTCTGGGGTGCAGCCTACACCCGAGTCTGCTGGCTGGCTTCGGCCGCTCGGCAGGGGTAGGCGGAGGAGCCATCACGCCAAGGGTAAGGGCAAGGAGCAGTCCTCTTCGACTGGCTCCCAGCCTTTTCGCGGGCGCGGGAGGTCTGCCCCGACCTCCCGTTAACCCATCAGGCTGTAGACGTGTGTCAATCCCAGTCAGCTCCGCTACTCGGGACCACTCACGCACTCTTACCCAACGTCCCAGTGGGAGGCCGCCTCTCTCTATTCCTGCCGGAGTGGGAGAAGGCTACAAGCAACACTTTGGTGCTGTCCACCGTCAGTGTCGGCCATCTACCACTGTGGAAGCGAGGTCCGCCAGACTTCACCGGCATACGCCGCACTCCGGTGCCGTCATGTCAGGTACGGGCGGACATACTGCGCAACCAAGTCCAGGCTTTGCTGGACAAGTCCGCTATAGAGCGCATACCACCGGGCGAGGAACAGGCGGGATTTTACTCCACGTACTTCCTCGTTCCGAAGAAAGACGGCGGGTTCCGTCCCATTCTCAACCTCAAGGGGTTGAATCGCATGCTAGAAGTTCCATCCTTCAAGATGGAGACACTGCGCTCGGTGATCTCCTCTGTTCAGCCCGGCGATTGGCTCACGTCAATCGACCTCAAGGACCTCTGCATGTGCCCATACATCCATCGTTCAAGCAGTACCTTCGGTTCTCTTACGACGGGATGCATTACCAATTCACGGTGCTCCCCTTCGGCATATCCACTGCCCCCCGGGTGTTCACCAAGCTCATGTTAGTGCCGGCTACCCTCGCTCGTTCGCAAGGAAGGCGTTTTTACCCTTACCTCGACGACTGGTTGCTCGGTGCACTAACACAGCCAAGCGAGCCTAGATCCTACTCACAAGGTGATAGACATTCTAGTTCGACTGGGGTGGATCATCAACCTCAAGAAATCTGACCTGGTACCCACCCAGGACTTGGTTTTTCTCGGGGCGTGGTTCCAAACTCACAAGGATCTTGTTTCCTTGTCGCCCGACCGGGTCACAAGAGTACGGGAGATGGTGTCTTCGTTCCTCTCCCAGCCCCAGGCACCAGCACGGACTTGGCTCCGTCTACTGGGCCATATGGCGGCGACTATCTCTGTAGTGTGGCGGGCGCGGTTGAGGATGCGCCCTATACAGCAAGCTTTGGCGAGTCTGTGGGCTCACTCGGAGGACCTGGAGCGGAGTCTCACAGTCCCCGGGTGGTTGTCTCCTCACCTTCAGTGGTGGACCAATGTCGGGAATCTCTCCAAGGGGGTTCCCTTGGAAATCCCGACGCCAGCTCTTACAGTTCAGACCGATGCGTCCCTCACGGGCTGGGGGGGTGTTCTGGGCAGTCTGTCCGGACTCTGGTCCGAAGCCGAAGCCCACCTTCACATCAACGTGTTGGAACTGAGGGCTGTGCGGTTGGTTTTCGGCTTCGAGCATGTCCAGGGCCAGGTGGTTCGTCTTCAGTTGGACAACCAGACGGCCATGTCGTACATCCTGAAGCAAGGCGGCACGGTGTGAGAGCTCCTCCGGGAGACATGGGACTTTCTCCTCTGGTGCGACCAGTGCGATTGTCAGGTACTTCCTGTTTATCTCCCGGGGCTGGAGAACGTGCGAGCAGGCGCTCTCTCGCCGGATCCTGGCCCCGCACGAGTGGATGCTCGACCGGCAGATATTCGGAGTTATCTCCCAGTTGTACGGTCGTTCCAGGTGGATCTGTTTGCATCCAGTGGGATGAATCAGACACCCGTGTTCTGCTCTCGAATACCGGACCCGGCCTTCCTGCTGGATTGGACGGGCAAAGTGCTCTGGGCGTTCCCCGTACCCTCTCCCAGCTGTCCACCCAGCCAGCTCAGCTGCTTGTGCTACTGGCACCGCTTTGGCCGTCACAGAGCTGGTTTCGGTAATTCTCAGGGTTCTGGCTCAGCCTCCTGTTCTATTACCTTTGCGACCGGACATTCTCACTCAGAACGGCGCGCCACACCCCAATCCAAGGATTCAGTGGGTGGCTTGGCCTCTGTCAGGTCTAGCCTCGAAGCACGCGTAATTCCTGCAGCAGTTGCAGACACAATTCTGGGCTTGAGGCGGGTTTTGACAAAGCGTTCGAGTACGAGGATAGGTGGTCCCGCTATGCGCGCTGGTGTTCAGATAGGGGGATTGCAGATCCCTTTTCTGCGGATTTAGTCCGATTATTGGAGTTTTTGCAAGCTCGTTTGGAAGAAGGCCTGGCGGCTTCGACCATTCGTGGCTACTCCACCGCTATTTCCACTTTTCACACCCCTGTCGATGGTGCTCTTCTGGGGCAGCACCCTCGTCATAGCGCTTTTAGCTGGCGGATCGGGTTCGACCTGCTGTCAGGTGAACCAGCCCACCTTGGGATTTGTCAATTGTGCTCGATTGGCTGTCCGGTCCTACGTTCTCACGTCTATCGGCTATTTCCATTCAGTTGTTAACCTGGAAGGCTGTTTTTCTGGTGGCGGTAACATCTGGGCGTAGGGTTGGCGACTTACATGCTATGTCGTCCGACCCGGCGCTGACTGTGTTCCACACTGATCGTGTCAGTATTGGCCTCCCGGATACTTACCGCCCGAAGGTCGATCACGCTTTCCATGTGACACCTCCTATCGAACTTCCTACTCTTACCCAGCCTTCCACATCGGGGACCTCTCCTACGAGCACTCACCCGTTGGATGTCCGTAAGACTCTCAAGGTCTATATCAAACGAACACGAGGGATCCGTACGGGTACCCATCTGTTCTGCTGTTACGGTGGCGGGAAGGCTGGGGTGCCGGCGAGCAAACAGACCCTGTCTCGCTGGCTTGTCTCGGTCATTTGTGCTGCTTATCAGGCTAAGGGCAAGCCTCCCCCTGAGGGGTTGAAGGCTCACTCGGTCAGGGCAGTAGCCACGTCAAAAGCTTTTGCATCGGCACTGCCCATTGAAGAGATATGCTCTGCCGCTATTTGGAGCCGGCCTAGCACTTTTATCCGGCACTATCAGCTCGATACACATTCACGTAATCATGCGAGCTTTGGCCGTTCTGTTCTCTCCAGTGGACAGTGTCCTGCCACCCTGACCGAGTGAGTCTTGGTTCATTGGTTTTGTTGACGCTGCTGTTCAATATTGTGTTTTATTGACATGTCCGCTGTTGGGTGTATAACCTCCTTTCGATCCTCTACGGAGACTATGGTCGGTCGTGAGCGGTTTTTCCCCCCTACGGTGCTCTCTAATTGACACAAGGTGGGTGGGGTTTGTTTACATTCGCACCATGTGCGAATTCTTATGCTAACCTGCGAGGTTGTCTATGAGTACATTTCCTCCCTGTCGGTTACCCTCCCATAATGCCTCTCGCGGAAGCGCAAACCGGGACATGTGACAGGTGAGTGATTATGGCGTCTGTTACATTAATCTTAACGATCGCTATTTGTGTGTGCTTTGACAGAATTCCCTCCTCCCTGGCCTCCGGTCTTTGGGAGTCTGTGTTTATGCATAATATGTACCCCAAGGACGATCTCTATGAAAAAGAATTAACCAAACCTGAAGAGGTTTTCAATTCTTTGAAGAGAGTAGATCCATGGGTAGGGCCTCCGCCTCCCGCAATTCTGTTCACTGATTTATTCAGCAGAAGGAATGATGATCACGGGCCTAGGTGCTTACCCAGTTGGTGCGCATGCGAAACAGGAGGTAACTCCACGAGGTGGGGGCCGTATAATAAATAAAAAGATTTTATTTATTGTACAATATTTTTTTTAAAAGACATTGATACAACTGTCACAGGACATTTTCAGCCGGAAAATGCATAATATGTACCCCAAGGACGACTCTCTTCAAAGAATTGAAAACCTCTTCAGGTTTGGTTAAATTTTTAGAACGATATACATTGTGTTTGACACTTCTACAAAAATGCTTCATGGATTGGAGGGAAAGTTTGCAATGACAGAACGAGATTACTTGATTTGAGTATCGGAAGAATATATACACATTAAGTGGGTACAATTGTGCAAGATCTGTTTTCCTTGACTGAGTTACACAAACGGCCAACGTTACAACTGTTCTTTCAGTTCTTTTACAAAATATTACCTTAATTATGTGCACAGGCTGAGAACGGAATTGAGCGTACATTTGGTGAAACAGAAGTGACGAAGAAGTATTCCCACATTGATCTGGTGGTGATGGTGGACGGTGTCGATACTGAGAGAGGGACTGTCACAGCTGGTGGGCGAGGATACTACCTCAAGGTGAAGGAATCATTTCTAATAAAGATTTTGTATAAACATCACCACGATCATCGTAACACTAGCTTGGGGAAAATACAAATTCCTGTGGACTTGGTGAAATTTCCCAGTGTCACCATTGTTTTAGCATTACAAGAGAATTTTACTTTTACCTTAGTTAGTAAACTTTTGAGTTTAGTTCTAACCCTTTACAATGAAACCAGCCCTGTAAACATAAAGGCATTCTCTTCCCACAGAGGTTATTGTCATATCTTCCTACGAACCTCTGTTCCAATATGGCCATATTTCCCGGTTCTCGTAAAATCCCCTAGCGGCAAAAGATCGCAACGCGAATTATCTCCCTTCTTTCTATCCAATCAGAACACGTGTTACATCGACTTAGATTCAACTTGACTAACACAAGCAAATGTGGGGCCACAAATATCCCCATCTGCCGGGGACTTGTGTTGATGTTACACACAAGACGTTTAATGGCTAGCTTGTCCGTTGTCAACGAGGGCAATGGAGACGCCACTGATCCGCCATAACATGACTGAGTTCTGTCTAGAAGAAACGTTTGCGCATCGCGAAGGGGAAGAAGTTTAGTTTTCTCGAAGCATACGGAAATTACCGAGGCCTTGCGAATGATCACTTTTGAAACAACGTCACTGATTGCACAACTAAATCTGATTGCCTCCAATCACGAGCCTTGAACGCTCACACCATGAAAGGGCCGTATTAGAACAGAGGTTACGTAGGAAGATATGACAGGAGTAACCTCTGTGGGAAGAGAATGACATAAAGGAGGAATCAAGAAATATGAAACCATATCACTTCATGACATCCTGGCATCAAATAACAATACAGCTTTTCTGTTCCGTCATGAGTCAAATTAGATAATATGTAACAGATTAGAGATTATATTACACAATATTTTACTATTATGAACTATGTATTACATATTACATATACATGCAATGTGTACAAGTAGTTGTAGTGATGAATTGTCCATGTTCCAGGGCCCCCTAGTCTTTCTTGAGCAGGCCCTGATCAACCATGCCATGCAGATGTTGCAACTTCAGGGCTACACTCCACTGTACACACCCTTCTTCATGAGGAAGGAGGTGATGCAGGAGGTGGCTCAGCTCTCCCAGTTCGATGAGGAGCTCTACAAGGTCAGTGTCTACCTGGTACATGTAGGTAGGATCACTCAAGCTGGTGGGATAGTAGGAGGTAACGCAAGTACAAATAAACAGACTGTGGGAGAAGTTGTGCAATGCTGTGGCAGTACTTATATCTCCTGGCTAAGTCAGTCTGATATTTGTCTGACTCATCCACCTGGTCATTGACGTAACTGGGGTGGTAGGGTAACCTAGTGGTTAAAGCGTCCACTCGTCACGCCGAAGTCCCGGATTCGATTCCCCGCTTGGGTTCAATGTGTGAAGTCCATTTCTAGTGTCCCCCGGACAGGCATGGCTGTAGTCACATGACCAGATGTAGCCAGTACAATCATGGTTACTGTTTCTTGAGTTCCTCATACAGTTGCCAGTGACACTCTTGCGGTTAAAATATAACATAAATATATGTCAATATTTAACAACGGTTTGAAATATGAAATTCTCTTTTGCTTGAATTTAAATTACCGGTACATCATTGGATTGTGCCAGTAAAACCTAGACATTTTCTTGATGTAGGTTATTGGCAAGAGCAGCGAGAAACAAGATGACAGTGATATTGATGAGAAATATCTAATTGCAACCTCGGAGCAACCTATTGCCGCGTTCCATCGTGATGAGTGGATCCCAACTGAGAATCTGCCCCTGAAGTACTGTGGGTACTCCACATGCTTCCGCCAAGAGGTCGGGTCACATGGCCGAGATTCAAGAGGAATCTTCAGGGTGCATCAGTTTGAAAAGGTGGGATTAACATGCTGCATTTAGTTGCCAAATTAAAACTACACATTGTCATCTGTTTTTTGTTAAAGTCTTAGGGGAATTCTTGATCCATGTATTGTGTTCTTAATGATGTGATAAGAGCAATTTGTAGCACTCCTAACATAACAGTCAGACAAATGGACTTGTCTTGTTTTAAAACAATTACGTAACAGTAAGTCTTAAAAGGTTTTTCTCATATTTTCTGACATCTTTTCATTGCAGGTAGAGCAGTTTGTTGTGACTTCACCAAAAGAGAACTATTCTTGGGAGATGTTTGATGAAATGATTAAGAATGCTGAAAATTTCACACAATCGCTTGGCATTCCCTATCGAGTGGTGAACATTGTCTCAGGTAGGATGTACATCAGAACATACAATTTCATGCAGTATTTTGTGCATTGCTGAAATTAGCCATTTTTCTCAAGCTGAAATTCCTAAAGACATTTTTTATGAAGAGAATATATTTCTTATTCTTAGGTGAACTGAACAATGCTGCCTCCAAAAAGCTGGATCTGGAGGCATGGTTTCCAGGATCTGGTGCCTTTAGAGAGTTGGTGTCGTGTTCAAATTGTACAGACTACCAGTCAAGGAGACTCAAGATCAGATTTGGCCAGACCAAGAAGATGAATCAGGAGGTAAGGAACGAAGGTCATTACTGCAAGTGTGTTTCAGTAACAGATGGGGCGGTGGGGTAGCCTAATGGTTAAAGCGTTGGCTCCTCACGCCGAAGACCCGGGTTCGAATCCCCACATGGGCACAATGTGTGAAGCCCATTTCTGGTGTCCCCGCCGGGATGTTGCTGGAATATTGCTAAAAGCGGCGTAAAACCAAACTCAGTCAGTCAGTCAGTAACAGATGCTGGCCAGTCCTTGTCACAAATGTAAAATAATGTTTACTCTGGCTTTTGTTTTCCAACAATGGAAGCTGTCCAGCTCAGTAACACAACACACAGCAAATTGTGCAGAATTTATGTTCCATATGTGGGGTTGTTTTCCTCATGGACCATGGGAAGGTTTAATGAGATCTGAGGAATTATCTGTCCTGCACAAAGGAATGGTATAGGCCATGAACCAGGGCAAGTGACTGACATCATTTACATCCCTGTATGGATTCCTTGTTAGAATTGGTGACTTAATGCATCAAATAGCCAGGTTTGGTGAACTGACTCTCATAAAAGCATGGAATGCTGCTGTTAGGATATAAGATTTATCACTGGATTGTCTGGGTCAGAGGTGATGTTTTTACAGACTTATGTCATGTAGCTGGGACTTGCTTGGTGATAAAAAATAAACAATGTATATTCCCTGGGAGAAGAGGGGATGTGTAGCAGATAATCTGTAATATCGAGTCTGAAGTGGGTTATTCCAGATATTACTCATTATTTTGAGGGGCATGGTTGGCCCTGTTGTCAAGAGTACCACAATTTGCTATACAGAGTTGTGTCCCTTCATATGCCGGGAACCTTTCCTCCCACAATGGACTGACTTGCTGTGATGTCACAGGAAACTGATAAATGCTTTGTTAAACCTCAGGGGTGGAAATAATTTTAAAATTGCTAGTGTACTCCGGTACAGTGGCACATGTAAAATCACTTGCCCTGATAATTTTTCCACTATACTGGCCGATTTTCTTGTTGATTTTGTAAATAAGCAACATAATTAACATTGGAAAGTCAAGTGGATACCGGTACAGCATGATATAAAAATTTGTTTGCCCAGCATATAAAAAACACTGGACTGGGACGTCGGCAATGGGTTATTTCCACCCCTGAACCTGCTCATTATTTTAAGAAAGAAACTTGAAGAAACATGCATGATAAGTCAACCCTACCAGAAACAATAATGTGTGACGTAATATTGTTCTCAGACATGTCAGAAACGAAGCAGTGTTACATCATATTGCCTTAACTTGCAGTTATCCTTTGGGAATCTCTAAAAATGAACATGTCCAATTATCAAAATGTTATTATGCACATTCTTTCTACACTAATGTGAGTAATATTAAGGAGTATTTGCTGGGTTTTCCAGGTGGAGTATGTACACATGTTGAATGCTACCATGTGTGCCACAACTAGAGTCATTTGTGCCATCCTAGAAAACTTTCAGACAGAAGACGGAATTCTTGTCCCCAAAGTCCTGGCTCGATTTATGCCAGAGGGTAAGGTTACATGGAGAAACAGATTTCATGAAATGATTGCATTAGTCTTTTTTCTATTTTTTCTCAGTATGTTACATTCCATGGCAGGTAAATTTTTGACAACTGCCCAAACTGATTGGAAACTGTAGTGTCATTGTGTTTAAGTAACTGCTATGTAGGTTTTAGAAATGACCTGTCATAAGTTGTTATGGTTACTAACTGTAACTGTTGTATTACTTAATGGAAACAATTCATGTATTAGCATCAGTTTGTGTATGTTGGCAGTTGAAAGTCTGGGCCTAGATTTTCGATGCTCTCTTAGCGCTAAGATAGTCGTAAGGTTAATGTTAATGTATGGCACTTACAACTATCTTAGCGCTAAGAGAGCATAAAAAATCTACGCCCTGGACTTATATACGTGAATCATTCAAAAGTTACATAGTAAGTAAATAATTCCCCTTGTTTACCTGTATGATTGACATTGTCACAGATATTACATTTTCAACATTTATTATTATCACTAATAATCAGAATTCAGAATTCTCTTCTCATGTTATGAAACAATCAGTATATGTAGACTTTGTAATTCTTGTTTCTTATTGTACTGCTTTGTATTTCAGTATATGCAGAGAAAATACCATTTGTTAAACCTGCCCCAATTGATGAACAAGAGAATAAGAAACAGAAAAAAAGCAAAGACAAGAAGAAGAATTTAGAGGAAGGTGTACAAAATATGGACATCAAGAAATAGACCTGTGATAAGCATGACACATGCTCAAGACAATGGGACCTTACACAAATGTGCAGGCTGTTTACTGCAATTTATTTATTTCACACCAAGTGCTGACATGTTTTCATCCCTAAAGTGAACATAATGAACAATTATTAGTGTTATTTTGTTTAGTGCTTTCTCATCATTGAAGCCTTTAGAATCTGAATCTCTACAGGTCTTTAAACCTTGGAAGATGTCATTCTATGAAGCTTGTCTTTTATTTTATTTTATTTTACTTTTCACAAATGATATCCTTTAGTACTGAGAATGAGTAACATTTTTTAATACATTTATGTAGAAATACCAATGTATCAGGCACTAGTTAAGAAACTTACATGGTCTTTTCCCTCAAAATGTACATGAATGGCTAAATTTGTAGAGACAATCTATTCTACAATTTGTATAGAAAAGTGAGTTGTTTACTTTTGGAGAAAGTATCGATCATGACATATTTGAAATTTACATTAGAAATCAATGTTTTATCAAGACTCCTACGGTTATGACAAAAGGTTGTTTTGTTCCTACACATCAAAACCTTTTATGAGTTTCAAATATTGCATATTTAATTCATTTCTTTTTTAAGTTGCGTTCTTACACTGGTGGACATGTTGAACATACTTGGGTATGTTACAGATCATAAGGCAGAGTATGCTCAAACACTTTGAATCTAAGCCTGAGTTGAGAAATATTTCACTAGCAGTATGTGCTGAAATCTACTAAAATGGTAAAAGAGTTTGAATTAGTGAACTGACAAGTAGTTGTAACTGATTATGTTGTCACGATGAATAACTCTCACTGTAACTACATTGACCATGCTGGTTTGTGCAATGTAACCTTCATACATCTGTAACATGAAACAGTGCAGAAATGTGAATTGCAGGTGAAATGTCAATTAAAAAGATGAAACTGAACACATCATATTGTTCTCATTTTAATGGTAAGCTGATAGAACAGGCCGTGGGAGAACAGATGACAGAAAGTGAACATGTGCGATGGGCTACTGGCTACTTATTGTTGCTGTCACTGATTTGGCTTGTCAAGATTCAATAACAGGCTGCCCTGATATAGCTGAAACATTGCTGACTGTGCTGCTATACAACATTCACATCCTAATAAATGGTGAACAGTGGGTGTTACATCCCAAGCATACAAGGATCTGCTGATCGTGGAATCAAATTTGACAAGTATTTAATCATGGTCATTTCAGCACTAAACCTTGTACCTTCTTTGTAACTTGGTTTCAGCAATAAAATATCAATTTGAAAAAAGAAAAAACAATCCAGTTGAACAAAAGAAAATGAAACAAACATGATATGTATTATAATTAAAATAGTTTCAGAGGTCCAATCAGAAAATGTCTGACAGTTACGTATCAATAGTTATCCAATCTAAAAAAGTCTAAGTATAAGTAAAATCCTACTGAAAATATATTTGTTTATTTGATCAACACTGTACTGAAAAAGGCTAAAAGGCTTCAGAGATGTATATGTATCGGAAAGTGGCCTATGCTGAAAAACCCAAAGGAATGTGACTGTCCAGATAATGTACAGGGATACACAGAATGTCTGCAATGGTTCATGGTTGGATATCACAATTTGGGCAAATTGCTGAAGGAAAGCTACACCTATACTTGCAGACATTACTAAAAAAACGAGACAAAATTAAGAGACTGTAATTTAAGGCGCACTTTTGTGTTGTCTTAATTTGAAATATGTTGAATCGAAATGCAATGCATATCTGCAAAAGACGAATTCAGTGGTGTCTGAACTGCTTATATTTTATGCAGGTCTTCAAAATAAATTCAGAACTGAGTGAAATTAGCCTGGATTTGAGAGATTCAGTAACTCTGAAACAGAATATACCATGACCGTATTCATGGTGCACAAGCTGTGAGAATTGTTGACAGCCATTGAGATGAACACAACCAAACAGAGGAAGTAAAATCTGTCAAGACGATAGCGGGGCGGTGGGGTAGCCTAATAGTTAAAGCGTTGGCTCATCACGCCGAAGACCCGGGTTCGAATCCCCACATGGCTACAATGTGTGAAGCCCATTTCTGGTGTCCCCCTGCCGTGATGTTGCTGGAATATTGCTAAAAGCGGCGTAAAACCAAACTCACTCAGTCAGTCAGTCAAGACGATAGCGTCACAATATCGTCAACTGGTTATAGCGTCGGAAATCGAATCGCTATTGATGCCAAATTAGAAAGCTAGTCTCCCTGGAGGTCAGTTTGAGACTTCCGCCCGTCTACCCCCTTAAATTTCATTCTAGTCAAATCAAATCCTGTCACCTGAATATATATTAATCATCTGATAAGGATTGGTTTTAACATGTTTCTTTGTATCTGAACATATTGAAAGACATATCCAACTTCTAAAAATGCCACTCAAAGAATTTTTTCCTCATCGTTAAAATTAAGGGGGATACAGGCGGAAGTCTTACCCAGTTCGATGGCTGGTACTTCAAACCAGGGAGAATACTATCCGCTGATGAGAAGACGAACTGATAAACCTTACACCTAACATGCAAACAGTAAAATTTTAAACTTATCCTATCTCACGGCATGCACTTCTCTCTCTTGATTCGACACTGAGTGGAAAGATGTAAACATTTTTCCCTGGACCTCTCTTGTCCATCCGCCCAAGCACTCCATGCTACCCTCATTATATGACAGCTTCCTAGCTCTCATGCAAAGCATGCAGCATGCACCACTAGCTGCCCACATTACTATCTCCAAATCATTCTCTTTCTTGTCGCACACGAGTGTGGACGTATTTTGCTTTGCTCAACGTTTTCAACTTAGTCTACAACTAAGGTAGGTCTACTTCACCGCCGAGACGCCACTATTCGACTTGTTTGCATTCAACTAAGCAACGCCTCCATCTACTTCGTTGAGATCGGTTCTTCTATCGAAGTCACCACCTCGGACTTCGTCTTCTCGTCAGCATGGGACTTCCTCTTCTATGCACTCGAACCGTCAACCTAGATCTCCTACACGATCGACTGCTGCATATCGTTCAAGATCCAGGGATCATCATTCTCGTTATGATACTTCCCCTCCTTGTTCCTGATCTCGTCATCGGGTCTCCATATGTGCGTCTACTTCCGGTTCGTCCCCGTCCAGACATCAATATGGTTCTACAGATAGGAGATCTACTCAACGGGGCTCCGATTATAGACATCAGCGTGCTACGACTTCTGACGGGGCTCCTGCCTCCTCGTGTGTCTCTAGTCTACTCAGATTGTACCAGATTCCTGGACTCCTGCGCAGGAAACTACTCCTCCCCCAGATCTGGCTGCGATGTTGAGTGCTATTTACTACTGTTTGGAAACAGCAACAGTCTGCTCCGTCGATAGGGACCGAATGCGCATTCAACGAACTAGCATTCGTCAACGAACCATGGCTGCATCTACTTAATTGGCATTCACAGAACCGAAATTCGCCAGACCGGCTGTCCTCGAACCGGAGATCGTTGAACCAGCATTTATCGATTCAGCAGTCACTGAATCGACGTTTTTCGACTTAACTAACCGTCCCATGGTTCATCGAACTCATCCAAGTATCATCGTCGAACCGATTTGGCAGGCCGGTTCGCCGTGACATCGTCGAACTAATTCTTCTGCACAGAATGGCTCATCTCGAAGAACCACATCGCCTAACTGATTCACTACAACATCCCCCTACTAGTTAACCAGATCGATCTGCTCATCAACGAACTAGTTCGTCGGGCCAAACTGAGTCGCCGCACCAGAACCGGATCATAGTACCGTTTCAGATCTTACCTTGCCGAGCCAGATCACTTAACCGATCCTGGTCATCGAACCGTGCCAGATCGCAGATCCAACAGCGTTCGCCGAACCATCAGTATTCACCGAACTGCCAGCATTGCCGAACCATGCCGCCTTTAAGGTACAGCAATAATGTTGGTTCAGTCGACACACATGGTCACTTGGTTACAGCTACAGCTATCAGGCGTAAGATCATACTCACTCACTCATCTACAACTATCTTGAGCAAGATACCAGATGCTCTACTTACTACATTCAGCTTGACGGATTAGAACTTGTCAACACTGTGTTTTTACATGCTTATCTAGGATCATGACCTTGCATCTAGATACGGTCAATTATACCAGCTGTTAATTAAACTCTACCTGCTTTCAACACGATGTTAATATTCAGGGCATTTGTGATACACTGTATTCCTCACCACGGAGTGGCATGCTCTTAGCATGACCATTCGACTTGGCTCTCCGGATTACCCTACGGCATGTGAGGCGCTAGAAGATTTTAGTCACATGATTTATCCCATTTGGTACCCCCTTTCTGCTGATTGAACAGATGAAGTAGCTCTGTCAGTAGCGCAGACATCTAGATTACGCACTTGACGCTCTGACGATCCCCGATCTACTTTCTCAACTCTCAAAAAAGCCCTGAGATTTTAGACAGCAACTTGACCTGGTCAGGACATGTCAGAGATCACTGGCCATTAATGAGTAAATATTTAAAACATTCAGATCCAAAACATTGCGAAACACTTGAACAAAATTTAAGAACACAACTTCAAACCGAACTTAACAATCCAGTTAAATGTAAAACCTTTGAAGGGCATGTAGAAGTGGAATGCATAAGAAAAGCAAGATTTATGGATGTCGACTTCATTCGCAATATAGAAGTTGACATCCATAAATCTTGCTTTTCTCAGTTAAATGTAATTTTCACCACGATCATTCCCACCACCATTACCACAATTGAACCAACCATCAAGATTTCCGAGTGTTACGAAGCTTTCCGAATGCTTGTCAAAATACCGGTTTCCATCAGCGTATCGCAATACGTATCGTTTTCATGTCTGAACCGGTTAAAACCGGTAAACCGGTTATATTGCGCAGCCCTAATCAAGACACTGACTGAATACTTTAACATGAAGACGTCTCATTGCAAGTTATTTCGTCAAAGCATGGAGAATATAATACGATAGTCTATATCATTCGTAAGCGAAATCACCAACTGAATAAAGAAATTATTAAGATAATTTTCTCAGACAGATATCTGAGGCTAATATTGGCTTTGTCGGGATACACCCTTCTTTTCGCGAACACCTTGTGTCATCTCTGTTTGATAGTGATTCCTGAACACCTGGTGTCATCACTGTTGATAGTGATTCCTGAACACCTGGATCACACAAAGCAGTATGGCCCAACTGTATTTGTGGGTATTTAACGTTGGCTGAAACGGCCATTCAAGCATATTCTTTGAACATGGCACGGAGACGATTGTCAATCGACACTAGGAATCAGATTATTAGTATGCATACCGCAGGAATGTCCTTTAAGGCGATTGGACGAAATCTGGGCTACCATTACACCGTCGTTAGCCGTTTAGTCCGGAAACATGCGCAGACCGGAAGTGCAATGGACCGTCCAAGGTGTGAAAGCAAGGCCTCCTGTCACTACACCGCGTGAAGACAGAAGACAACTGATACGACATGCACGCCGAGAACCCTTCAGTACAAGTCCTCAGCTGAAAAGACTGTGGTTACCCAATCGGCCCATCAGCACCAGAACAGTCAGAAATCGTCTCAAAGCGGCAGGATTAAAGGCAAGAAGAGTCATTAAACGTCCCTTGTTGAGAGACCACCATAAACGTGCACGTTTGGCATGGTGCTTGGCCAGACGACACTGGAATCTGAGGACCTGGAGGAAAATCCATTGGTCGGACGAAAGCCGCTTCTTACTTCATGTTACTGATGGATGTGCACACGTGTTTGCGGGCATAAGAACACAGCTTATACCCCCAGGAACATTCTACCAACTGTTGCCTATAGAGGAGGATCTGTCATGGTGTAGGGATGCCTCTCTCACGATTGCCTCTCTCAGCTGCATTTGGTCACCATCAGGGGCCACTTAAC